CACAATAATAATAATAATAATAATAATATTAATATGGAAAGAAAAAGTGCTAAAACAACACACGCACACACGCACACAGACAACGTCACGATGATAATAATCATAACGTAGAATCGCAGGTGTCGTGACGTCATTTTTTCCATCTCATGCATTTTTTTTTTTTTTTTTTTTTTTTTTTACCCACCAATTTAAACAAAAACGGATATTTTAAGATTATGCGTGAGTGACGAAAAACGCGTAAAACGCAATGGTGGGAGGCAAGAGTAGGGGAGGGGAAAGCGGGGAGGGGAGGGGGTTTGAAAAATGGATTTCGAAAACGTGATGCGAAAATCGCGATCGCTAAACTTTACAAGACATGTTTGACGTCATAAAAAAAAAAAAAAACATTTCGAAACGAAAACGACAGCCATGACGATGATAATGATGATGATGAGAGTTAAAATTGAATTATGGGTAATTTCATTGGATGACGACTTAACGGAAATGCAAAGCCGAAGACAAAAAGCTAAACTAATAATAAAATAAACATATAAACTCATATCGAATAAGTATATACTGGATATATATATATTAAATTTATTATTATTCTACCTGTTAGTAAAACCGACGAACGAGCAAACCCTGAGGTCACGTTAGATTTATAGGGTCGGATTAAGGATTCGGTGAGGTGGTCGCGAGTGGTCGTGGCACCGTCAAAAATTTCCGATTCGATTTTTTTCAAATGTTCTCCGAGTTCTCGTCCTTTGAGTCCCGTTTTTTCAACGTGTCGAGGGTCTATCAATAATTTACGCGTCACGCGTTTTTTCACGTGTACGTTTCCACTTTCGTCCGTTTCTTCGAATTCTTCGACCTGTTCCTCCGCCGCGGATTCATCCCGAAACTTTTCCGTGAATTTTTTATACGCTTCGTCAGCATCCGGTCCGGTGAAAGTGATTTTCTGTACTTCTGGACCAAATCGTGCTTCTTTATGTATGACGTGAGAATAATTTTCATCCGTTATGGGTTCTATCGTTTCTCTGTACTCAATGTCGTGACCACCGACGTCGATGTTTTCGAACGTTAATGTATTTCCGGTTTCGCGTAAGACACTTTCAGTCGCTTCATCTCCCGGTGCCATCATCAACCTTCTTTCTCTGAGTATTTTTTTAACGTGTACGTTACCCAATTCGTCTTCTTCTCGTACTTCTATTATTTCTTCACCCAAATTTTCTTTGTACTTCCGTAAATTTTCCTCCGCGTCGGAACCTTTGAATATTATTTTTTGAATTTCCGTCACGGGTGATTTTCCCGACCCTTCCGGATTTACCTTTCCGACGAGTTCTTCCGGTCGGATCAATATTTTTTCTTTTAATATTTTTCTTACGTGTACGTCGCCATTTTCGTCTACCTCTTCCGTTTCTATAACTTCTTCCGTTGTTAAATTTTTCATGTACGTTTGTAATTGTTCTTCGGCGTCGGAACCGGTAAATGTTAGTTTTTCAATATCCGATGGCATTTTCACAAATTCTTGTTTTTCACGACCGGTCGCCAACGATTTTTTCATTCCTTCGTCGAGTTCGTCGGATTTGACGATTATTTTTTCTTTTAAAATGACTCTCCTTCGAACGTTTCCGTGTTCGTCTATTTCTTCTTCTATCGTTTCTATTTGCCCTTCCGGTGGTATGCTATCGACGTAACGTTGAAAAGCGGTTTCGGCGTCGGCACCCTTCACTATGAGTTTCTGAACGTCCGGTTGCAAATTTTCCACGTCGTATTCGACCGTTTTTTGTTCTTCGAATTGTTTAATCTGTTCTTCGGATAGTTCTTCCGGTTTCATTAAAATCGTTTGCTGGAGTATTTTCCTCCTCCTCACATTTCCATACTCGTCAACTTCTTCCGTTTCTATTATTTCTCCTTCCGGTTTTAAACTTTGGGAAAATGTTTTTAGGCTTTGTTCAGAATCCGGTCCGGAAAATTTTATTTTTTCTATTTTTGTTATCGTTCCTTTACTCTCGTCCGTCGCGGTTGATGTTTCGCCACCGCCAACCGGAAATTGATCGGACTCTAATATCTGTTCTCTTATTATTCTTTTCCTGTGAACGTTTCCGAATTCGTCCATTTCTTCCACTTCCTCTACTTTTTGTCCTCCTCCGACTCGTAAAGACTCGGAAAATTCTTTAAATGCTTCACTCGCTTGGGGTCCCGTAAACGTAACTTTTTCAACTTCCGGCATCATTTGCGTTCGACGATGTACCACGTGAGAGTACACATCATCTTTTAACAAAGGTTCAACAGTTTCGGATACGAAACCTTCATCTCCCAAATAACTAAATTTTTCGGAATGTATGATCGTGGCGGCTGCGTCGGGTAGCATCTTGTCCGGTTTGCTACTCGTCGGAGATCTCGATTTGTAAACAAGTTTTTGACGTATGATTTTCTTCTTGTGCACGTTACCATACTCGTCGATCTCTTCGATTTCCACGATTTCCTCATCGGGATTCGAGTATTCCTCCTCGGGTTTTTGCCCATCGAGCATTTGCTGCTGCTGCTGCTGCTGCATTTTTCTGTTTATGTAAGTTTTTTCATTTCTAATTTGTTTTTGTAACGGATTCACATCCTCGACGGTGAGGTCTTCGAGCCATTCTTCGGGTTTCGAATTGGTAAAATTTTTTACGAAATCACTTTTTTGAGCGGATAAAAGGAAATCTATGTTATCCGTGCTGGATATCATGGTGTTGGAATCCGCGCTCGTAAAACTGGAAGACATAACCGAATCCGTTTCGTATTGATACGTGGCTTGAGTTCCGGCGGAACTGCTCGGATCTAAACTTTCGTTGCTACCCATGACGAAATCACCTTTCGACGTCGGACGATACGTCAAATCTTCGCTTTCGTCTTTACTCAAAGAACTGTAATCTCCGGAGCTGCTCTTATGGTGTCTAACCTCTTCCATGGAATCGCTCTTGTGACCAAATTCCGACAATTCTCTCGTATCCGTTTTAAGCGGATTCGTTTTGTAAGAGTCTAGACTTATTGCGTCATCATTTCCATCCCGAATCATTTGTTTTTCTTTTTCGCTTATTTCCAATGAATCCGCACTTATGGATTTGACTTTGGTTCCGTTGCTTAACGACGATTCGGCGGCGGCGGCAGCACGGTCATTTTGCACGTCTTTGGGTGCATTCATCATCCTTTTTGATTCTTCAATTTTTTCCATTTCTCTCCACTGTTGAATTTTTTTCTTCGTCACGACTTGCGTCGAATATGGTAATTTCGATGTTTTCGAATTTTGAACGTGATCGTAGGGTAATTTACCACCAGAGAACGGCATGTCCAATTCCAAATCGGGTACTTTTGCAACTTCCTCGTACGAATCCCCGCGGCCCATGGATTCTATTTTTTCCATCGCTTGCAATTCTGAAAATTTTTCAACGTTCGTTTGCGCCTGTTTGATTATCTCGTCTATTTCGAACATTTTCTTATCGAAATCGTCACATTCCGATTCTAATTTATCTCTGATAACGGCCGAAACCGTTTCGCAACTTTCAGACTCTGATATTTGACTCTCGTGACCTTCGTCTATTTCCGACAAAATTTGTTCTTCTTGTTTCGCTTTGCTTTCCATGGTGACGACGGTCGCGCAAGCGTTTTCCAAATTTTCAAATTCTCTCAAACTCGCCAAACTTATATCGTCTCCCTGTCCGCTTTTGCTCGACGTTCCCAATTTTTTACTATTCAATGAATCCTGACTGCTCGACGATCCGCTTTTCTTACCGTTTTCCATTATTTTTCTTTCAATCAATTCGAATTCTTGTAAGCTACTCATGCTGACATCGTCGTGTTCTCCCGAACGTGTGAAATATTTTCGTCCGGCTAATACGTCATAATCGGGAGTGCTGCTAAAACTGTCTTTGACGCTGCTGAAACTACCGATGCTTTCCTTTTGACTACCCATGCTACCGATTTTACTGCTGCTTTCTAAATCGTTTAAATCTTCTTCTTTGATGTCCTCGAGCGGTGCTCTTTCGTATTCCATTTCGTAACCGTAGGCTCCGATGACTTTGGCCGCCTGTTCTTGAAATTGCATTTCCACCCATTTTTTACTCTGTTCCAAATGTTGATCGAAATCCGAATCCGTTTTTTCCTCTCGTCCGGGTCTTTTTTTAATTTTTTCAACGAATTTACGCGTCGGCGGTTGCGGCGGACTTTCCGAATCAAACGAAAACAATTCCGCATCATCTTCTTTTGGAAAATATTTCAAATCCGTCATTTTCGTCGTCGGTCCCGGCGGTGATTCTTTCAATTCTTCTTCCTTCGCGTCTTCTTTCGTGTTTTCTTTCGGTTTTTTGTACGTTTTTTTCTTCGACGATATTTGTATGCTTTTCCCTTCCTTATCATTTTCCTCAGCCTCTCGACCTACTTCCTCGATTATGACGTATTCGTCGCTTATATCCGGTTTATCGAGCATTTCGAACGAATCGCTACTCGGAGAACCCGCGGAATCTTTATCTTCTTTCGTTTCGCTCATTTCTTTTTCTTCTGCTAAAATTTCTTTCGAAAATTTTTTTATTTCCGATCCTTCTAAATTGTATTCTTTTCCCTGATCCGTTGAAATCGATGATGTTCTACTGTGCGTCGATGATGGCGTGTCGGGAGTTTTTGGAATTTTTTTCTCCTTCGTTTCTAATGATTTGGGTTTTTCTAACGTCTCCGCAGTCACATCTTCGGTGACTTTTATATCTGGAATGTCGGTGCTACTCGTGGTCACGATGACGGTTTTTTCCAAAATATCCTTTTCTCCCGATTCCAATTCGTGTTTTTCTTCGATGGTACTCTCTAAACTACTTTGCGGTGGCAACGTATACTCTTTGTCTTGCGTGAAATTTGTCACGTCCATGTTATTGAGTTCCAATCTTTCTTCTCGAATGGGACTCACGTGTGAAGCGTATTCATCTCTTCTGCTGTACGCGCTCGAATATTCCATTTCAAGTTCTGTTACGCTAGCTTGTGCTTCAGATGAAAATTCAGGAGTTATATCTTTGTTTTCCATTTCTTCGGGTTCCGGTGTCGAGGGTCTTTCGATTATGTCTTCTTTTTCAGTTTCGCTCGAACCTTGTTTCATCAATTCGGATAATTCGGAATCGGGTTGATCTTCGCTGAAAACGGAAGAAACGGGTCTCGAATCCGTTCTGCTTATTTGACTTAAAGACCTGTTGTTATCGTAGTCGCGAAATTCTTCGACTTCTTCTCCGACTGATATTTTCCTTTCCTCTGCAAATTTTTCCAAACTGTCTTCTGCTTTTTCAGAATCGTCTGCTTCTTTTTTCTCATCGTTTTTAACTTCTTTTTCCGTGAGTTTTACATCGTTTGAAAAATTTTGTCCGGATGAAATTTCATCTCCGTCGGTAAAATCGGATTTCGGTTTTTGTGTTTTTGCTTCGCTCAAATTCCACGTCATCGTAGGTACGAAATTACTCGTGCTTTCTTTTCGCCTGTGACCTTGTAACTTTTTTGCTTTCGACGTGTCCACGTCGTCGTAATCAGGTACGTAATCGACTTCCGTCGGACCGTTTAAATGTGAAAGTTTTTCATTTATTTTCTCGATTTGCAGCGGTTGACTGCCTTTTCTTTCCGTTTTCGTTTCGTCTGCCATACTCGACTTTCGAGAGACCGAAGTCACTTGCGTTGAGACGTACGATACCCCTTGCTCTTCGGAACTTGATGTTGTGATAATCACAGATCCGACTTTTTTGTTTATTCCTTGAACTAATGTCGACGTGCTTATTTCATTGGTAGCAGATTGTTGTGCGCCGGTTTCTTGTCCGTCCAAGTCATCGTGATCCATCGAAATTCCGCTGACTGTTAAAGAACCATCGAGTTTTTCCGAATCACCCTGAGACAATTCAATAACCGTTCTAACTGCTGAGGGCTCGGATATTGTGGAAAGACTGGTCGATAAAATACTTGAACTATCCTCTAAACTCGATACGATTCTTTCATCGGGAACGCTGATGATGCTCGATGTTTCGTCCATGCTTCCCACCGGAACATTTTCAGAAAAATTTTCTTTGGGAAGACCTTCGATGCTGTTTGAAAAAGCAATTAATTTAGGTTCCGGTTGAAAAGTCATTTCGTACGATCTTTTCATTTTTTGCATGCAGTCTTCGTCGGAAATTGCTTCTTCTGCCACGATCTCACCACTTTCCAAACTTTCAAACGGTTTCCTTTCCCAACTGAGAACTTGCGATTCTTTTACCATTTCGAAATCTTCATCGCCTAGTACGGGTTTTTCGCTCGAGACCAACGAACTTCGCTCCGATGACAATTTCGTTTTCTTTTTATTATTTTGCACGATCATGCCGGATGCATCGTCTTCAAAAAGTAACACTTCGGGTGTTTCCGGTTCTTTGTCCAATTCTAAAGCGCTTTGAACTAACGTTTCTGAAGCTTCGCTCGAAACTTCGATACTGGCTAAATTACCGGAACTTTCCGAATCTAAACTTTTTATACTTTCTCGCGAAGAAAGAGAACTAACTGCCGTTTGATAATCTGCTGACGTGGCTTGTTTGCTCGACACTTCGTGTGACGCGGCGGATTCGTATTCGGACGAACCTGCGGTTCCGACGTTTCCGGCTACCAATGCTTCCACGTCAGATGAACACGGACGACTTGTCGTTTGTTCGAACGATTGATAATGACTATCGCTCGAACTTGAATACGGTTCTAAATCCGCTCCAGATCGTCGGTCGGCTTTATGACGTGCCGAACTCGTGGAATGACGGAAAACTATGCCCGATTTTACGTCCACTTGTTTTTCGATGGACGAAGTCGATGATAAAACTTCTTCGAGAGTGGGTGGCGATTTTATCGAATCTTCGATGGAGCCGCATTTAGATGAAGAATCTTCGCTGGAGCGATGAATCATTTTTTTATCACTTCCGGTTTCCGGTATTTTAATTTCTAAATTTTGAGAATAATCGGTTTCGGTTGTAATATCTGCCTCTCCCGTCGGTTCAAAGTCTTTTCTCGTGACACTTTCGTCATCGTGAACAACATCATCGATCTTTTCATATTCTTTCACTTTAAAATCCTCACCGGCGTCCTTGACTAACTTCACATCTACATCCTTATCAGACTCCTTTTCGATTGTTTTCTTATCATAATCACCACCGTCGAACGATTCTGACATTTTTTCGTCGTCAAAATCGGTGATTTGTGCTCGATATTGAATCGTCTCGTCCATATCTTCGACCTTTTCAGAAAATCCACTTTCTTCGATAACGACGATTCCCTGTTTTATGTCTTCCAAACCGCCTACCTTACTTTTTAGGTTTACATCCGAAGGAGTCAAGGTCGCGGGTTCGTTGACCTCTTCTACACCCGGAAAATATTCCGATATTTTTTCTCCGCTCATTCCTTTGAATTCGAATTCGGAGGGGGATTCTTTTTTTAAAAATTCATTTTTTTTCCTTTTTTTATGTTGAGCTATGAGTTGTTCTTGTGCCGCGCCCAACGATTCTTTAACTTCTGCTATCGTTTGATCCACTATATCTTCATCCCTCAATTTGGACATTTTTATTTCCGCTTGCTCAAAAAAATCATCTCCTTCTTTTTCTTCCGTCATTTTTTCCAATTTGACGGATGCTTTTTCCGGACTCGACACGACGATATCATCCTCTTCATCGAGACTCTGTAATTTGTGTACTTGACTTTCTATAGGGCTCAAATCATTGTCGGCACCGGTGCTTCGAAGTTCTTCGTCGGTTATGTCGACGCTGGATGCCGCCGTATCCACTTGTAGAGGTTTAGAATGAGTTCCGCGTTTTTCTTTCATTAAAATTTTTTCTATTTCCATGACGTCATTTTTATCCAATTCTTTTTTATTCGCCAATTCTCGTAATTGTTCGGTTATGTTCGTTGGCACGGATTCGAGAGTACTGTCGTCGTCATCATCGTAATTATCGTTCGTCAAAAACGTGGATTTGTTTTCCACTTCGCACTGTATGTATTCCAATAATTCTTCAGCGATTTCTTTCGCTTCTTGTTGCGTTAATTTTTTACAATAGTAATCCCCTTCCTCCTCTTCTTCTTCATCTTCTTCTTCTTCGTCTTTTTCGATTATTATTTGCTTTTCTATCGGTATATCACGCACGGTTTCTTCTTTTTCTAATTGTTCTTGCACGGGAGCTTCCCAGACAGTATCCGGAAAATGTTCTTCGGGCGTGTACACGTACTGATGATGTTCTTTGGGTGATACGCACTCGGAACGCGTTCTCTGCCATTTTGAATCAGCTTTACACTGATAATTATCAGGTCCCCAAGATGATTTTGATAAATCTTCTTGTCCGATCCATCGTCCTATGACGGATTCGCCCATGCCTTCGGGACTGTATATGTGATCTTTCGGAGATGCATCACCCGAATGAGAACCGTTTATATCCCATTGAGCATCTTCGTTATCAATCAATCTCGCATCGTCGGGAGTCACGTCGGATTCCGATTGGGTATCTTCGCTTTCACCCACGCTCGAAGTTTCTATTTGTTTTTTACCAGCGTTTTGGGTAGTTGAAGACGACTCATCTTTTCTTCTCGTCTTTTGCAACGTCATCAATTTTTCTTTTTCGTTTCCTTCGATTTCGTTTTTCTCTAAATGAACGTCTTTCACGCTGACGTCCGCCGCCGGTACTTTTTTCACCTTCTTAACGACTTCGTCAGCGTTTTCAATCGTCGATTCTTTTGGTAGACCATCAGAAGTTGGCAACTCACTCGTTTTAATACTTTTAACGACTTTTGATTCTACGTCACCTTCATCGATTTCTTCGCGATGCGAAATTATCCTTTCGACTATGACTTCGTTTTTTATTTCTTTTTCGAATAATTTTTTTTTAGCTTTTACCGTTTCCGATATTTCTTGCGCCGGCAAAGACATGGATCTGTCTTTTAGTGATTTACGAGCCGGAAACGATAATTCTTCGAATACTTTTTTACGTTCGCTCAACGGAAGGTTTACGTCGTCGGCATCCTCGTCGGAAAACACGGTGTTGTCAAAGGCTACACTTTCGACGCCATATTTAGCCAAATATTCCGCTTCCGAATCCGTGCTCTGTTCTTGTTTAAACAATTTTTTCTCCGATTCGTTCGGTTCTATTATTATTCTATCGGATGAAAGAGATTCAACGATCGGTTTCATTATTTCCACGTTTTCTTCTTCCACGAGTTTAGTGCTTCCGGAAATTACAGTACTTTTTGTAATTGGAAGACTATGACTCTCAGTCTTCAACTTGGCTTCCGATTCTAATACCGTTACAGTATCAGAGGGATGAGCCTTTTCGGATTCGTGAAAACTAATTTTTTCTTCTTTTTCTTTTTCTTCTTCCACGACATCTTTCGTCGGGAATGATTTCGGCATTGGAATGGCTGGCATTACTAATTCACCCGCTGCTATTTTTTTACTATATGAATCAGTTAACGACTTAACCAAACCGATATCCTGAACGTTTTCCACATTTTCAACTTCTTCGACGGTTTCTTTTTCTTTCGGCGGCGATTTCGTTTCCTTTACAATATTTTTAACGATTTTCTCGTTGGAAATCCTTTCCGTGCCACTTTCCATCAAATTATGTTCGACGTCGACAATCATTTCGCTACTTTGCGACGTTGACATTTTTTCCCAAAATTTTTTACGTTCGTCGTACGATGGCATTTTATCAGTTTCGTCGGATGATGTGACGTCAGAAAAACAAGATGAAAACGACGGCGCGTTAATTTTATCGGTAGACGATTCGACCTTATTTAAAATGGCGTCGGCATCGTCGCCACCGCCGCCTTTAACAACGGATTTTATTATCTTACTATTAGTGTCGACGGAATCGGATGAGGAAAAGGTGGTGGTGGTGGTGGTAATGGTAGTAGATTTAGTAGAAATATTAGTCGTTTTAGTGTATTCGGAAGCCTTAGTAGGTTCTTCGTCTTTTCCAATTCCTTGATATCCTCGATAGCTTTCTAAAAAAAGGGATTAACATAGAGACAAGTTAGTAACGGGTTAAGTTTTATGTTAGTCAATTAAATTATTATTATGAGGGGGTGGGGGCAGGGGAAAAAAAATTTTCCCACGTTTTTTTATCCAGAGCTAAACTTTTTACTAAAAGTAGTAAAAAAAAAAAAAAAAAAAAATTAATCATTATCATTTTGAATCCCTAATTTAAAAAAAAAAAAAACAAAACAATTATTTTGGTTCCGTTATTATCATATGAATAATAATAATAATAATAAAAGCCATGAAATTTTTAATAATAATAATAATAAAAGGCAAATAACCAGAGCAATCATAAACCATAGAAATAATAGTAATAATAATAATAATAAAAATTTCACTACAAACAACACTAATAATTTGCCACATTGATCAAAAACAAAAAAAAAGCGTAAAAATCTTCTTTTTTTTTTTTTTTTAATGCTGCTGCCGATGCTGCTGATGCAAAATTCCAGGCTTTAGCGAATTAACAATAACTATTTCCCTTACACTCTCTTCTTTATTACGTAACATAATCGACCGTTACACTTCCGGTTAATTTATTTCTTTCGTTTGTTTATGTGTGTGTACGTGTGCGTACGTGTGTGTGTGCAAATTCAACTTCCTTCGATTCTACAACGAGACGAAACGACAAAGAGAGACAAACAATATCGACAGACAATAAATGACGTGTACCACAATGTGAAAAATATAATAAATATTTTCATCTAGTTACACGATCAAATGATCACGCGACGGTGTGATTATTACTACATCACTTTTTTTTCCGGTACGTATTAGTCTGATAAACTTAAAAAAAAGAAAAAAAAACTTCACACTAAACGTCACCACTTCACATTTGTACAAAATCAAACAACAAACAAAAAAAACAAAACTAAAAACGTCTTCTGCTCCACCATTAATAATAATAATAATAATATACATATTTTTACAGTATCTGTACATTTATATACACGCAAACGCACTCACGCACGCACACACATACGTATTAGTAAACGCATTACGCGCACAAAACAAAACCTTTTTTTGATTTTACCCACACACATTGTGATGATTACGTCACAACACACGCACTCACGCACTCTCATACACAAAGCACTAAAGTAATAAAATATTTAATAATAAAAAAAAATATATATACCTTTGATCCGGGGAAGGAAAGAAAAACAAAAACAAAAACAAAAACAAAAACAATGGCGTGTCCGCGAACAAACGCGAAAACAAACGACAAACAACAAACGCGTAAATTCAAATAAACAATTTTATTTTATTCCGACCACGAAAACAATGATTTAAAATCGAATTGAAAACTCGACGACGATGACGTATCTCGAGTTTCTTCGGGAGAACTTTCCGAATTTTCCCTCTCGACGATTTGAGTATCGAAATTTTTCGTATACGCGATATAAGTACCCGACCGGGATTTTTTCCTAACGATAACGTTATCGGTAAAATCATCACTACTTTTCACGTAAAGACGTGTTTGACTTCTTTCTCTCTCATTAAACGTTTCCGTTTTCCCTGGGGAAAATTCAAAAAAAAAAAAAAAAAAAAAAAAAAAATGATATTACCAAAAATTAATTTTTTTTCATTTTGATTTTGCGATTGGCAATCCTGATTTTGGTTTTTTTTTTTTGTTAATGAAAACAAATCGTGTTAAAAACAAAAAATTTTGCGTGAGAAAATTGAATTAATTTTTTTTAAAACGATAGCAAAAATATTCCAGAACTCCGCAATTTGTTCCCTTATTTTAAATTTCGCGCCAAACAAACAAATTTTAAAAAAAAAAACCATTTCCGTTTTGGATTTTATTAAAAAAAAAAAAAACCGGAAATTGCGGAGCGCTGGAATTTTCTTCATTCGAATGGTTAAAAGAGATTAGTTTTTTTTTGAGAGAGGGGAATGGGTGAGTGGGGGGGGGTGGTAGGAGTTTATTTAAGGAAATGACGTAATAGTGGGTGTGGCGATGGTGGTAACAGGTGGTGGTGGCGGTGGTGTTAATTTGCACTTATTTGTTTTTTTTTTTTTTATACCTGTTTTTATTCGTTGCGAATCGTCTTCTAATTCGTTATCGGGCGTATCAGGATCCCGGGATTCCCAATCATCGGTCGGCGTTAAACTATTTAACCCCCCACCATCTTCCCAAAGTTGAAGGTACTCATTTTGACTTTGAGCAACTTCTTCGTTTGACATCTCCGATAACATTCTTTGGAATTCGACTTCTCGTTTTTCGTCTAATTTTTCTTCTGAAACTGTTCACAGTCACATACATGAAACCCCTTTTTTTTACTTTACTTTACTTTAGTTTAGTTTAGTTTAGTTTAGTTTTTAGTCATCATTTATCCAAAAAAAAAAAAAAAAAAAAAAAAAAAAAAAAAAAAAAGTTTTCCAGGTAACAACTAAGCGCGTGACAGAAGAAAAATTATCGACTATAACTAACTAACTAATATTATCATCATTATCATTAGTTTTCTTTGGTAAAACAGTTAAAGCGTCACAAGTCGCATGCTTTTGACCTTTTTCCAAAATCATGAGGGAATCATATTTAAACTTCCAGTTATGTCATGCTTCGGATACGCGCACGCGCACACCCACACACACAGAGAAATCCATACGTTAATAATGATTTTTTATCATTTTTTTTGTGATAACATTTAAAATTAGATAAAAAAAAACATGGCAACACACAGAAGAGATCCAGACTAATATGGCGGAACGAAGTGAGGGAGATGAAGGGGAGACGGGGGGTGTGGGGGGGTAAACAATTAAAATATTTAAAGAAGGGAGAAATAAAAGCATGCAACTTTCGACCGTTTTTGACCGGTTGTAACACTTCCGGTTGGGGAGACTCACGCACGCACGCACGCGCGTGGGTGTGCGTGTGTGTGGGGGTGGTGGTGGGTAGGGGTTGGGGGCGGGACAATTTTTTTTTTTTTTATCGGAAAATTATTTATTCGGGTAACAACAACTCACCGCTGTCAGATTCTTCCTTTTCTTTTTCTAAAGTTTCCGATGCCATCCTTTCGAATCTTCTTTCGACTCTTTTGAGCGTTTTTTCTTTTTTATCTTTTTTTTCTTTGTCTTCGGGAAGAAAGAAAACATCCGTTTTCAAACCTTCGAGTTTAAGTTCTCTTATGACTTCTTCGAAATCCGCTTCCGTTAATTTTTCCGACAATTCTTTTTCCATTTCTTCTTCGCCTTTTCTTCGCGTCTCGTCGTCGCCATCGTCGTTAATTTTTCTAAACGTTTTGATTTTTTCTGCCAGTTCGGCTTCTCTTGTCGCAACTTGATCAATGAGTGCCGGAGTTATGTGAAATCTTCCTATTTTGATTTCTTCTCCTCTGCTTTTCTTTTTCTTTTCCGGTCTCGTCGGAACGGATTCGTCGAGTTCTTTCGGCGGTTTGATTTCCGATATTTTTCTTAGTCTTTCGTCGACTAATTCTTTGGTTCGTGATAAAGATTCACGACTTATGTCGAATATGCCGCCTTTCATAGCGTTTAACCTTTGCTCGAGTTTCTTCTGCTCCTTTTCGAAACTTGCTTTGAGTTCTTTTTTTATTTTTTCACCGAATTCGTTTGTCGGACTGTAAACTTCGGAACGGGACGGACAATCCGTGTCCGCGTCGCTCATGCCTTCATCTTCGGATTCTATACGGAATATGACGCGAGGTTTCGACGGGGATTCCGGGGATCCTAATTCTCTCGATACTAAATCGCTACTTTCTTCGCTCAATTCGGTTTCTTTGTAACCGCTTTCCACGTCTTTCACATCGGATTCAACCGCGAGTTCTTCTTCGTCTTTTTTATCGTTTGAAACATCGGAATAACCTGCCAAATCTCCAAAACTACTTTTAACGGATTTCGATAAACCCGTCGTGATGTTTGATAAGAGATTAAGTTTTTCCGTGGGAATATTTTGGGGAGCAAACGTTTCGCCGAGCGAGTCATTCATCTCCGAAATCGGATAAAAATTTGATGATTTTTCATCTTGTACGAAATCCCGTTCGAAACCTTTGAAAAATTTTTCCTTTGAACTTTCACCGCGAAAAATTTCCTCCGTTTTATCAATTTTTTCATTTTCATTCATTTCCGGTACATCATCATCATCCGGTTTTACTCCGACATCTTCGATTAAATTTAAATTTTCAAATTTCGTCGGTGAGCTTCCGAAAACTTCCGAATCTAATTTTCTCACGGTTTCTTTAAAAAATTTTTCTTTTTCGATTATGTCCGGCGGTGTTTTCATATCCGGTACTTTCGATGATACCGAAGAAAATTCGAGTATGTTCTTTTTTTGCATTTCCGGATTTTCCACGCGAATGGATTCATTGGCGCCATCGAATTCATCGTGCGGTCGGTGGGTAAAATTATAATTCTCTGTTTCGCTTACGTAAGTTTTAATTTCAGCCGAAATCTCTTCAGGTTCTTTCGGCGAAATCGCCGTTAAAGATTTCTGAACGTTTTCCGCCGGAAGTAATTTTTCAACATTCGAAACGTCATTCGTTAACGGATCCGTTTTGCTCATGACTTCCGTCGATTTTATTTCTTCGTCAATCTCCGATTTTTCAGATAAACTCAATTCCGTTTCTTCCGCCGACGGAAGTTGATACTTTTCAATGTCATCCTCGGTCAAATCGGATTTCGGGTCGTCTTTCGTTTGAAATATCATGTTTTCTGCTTCTTGAACTATATCGCCGACTACTTTTTCCGCGATTTCCGTCGCGTCATCCAACGATAAAATAACAGCAGACATTTTGTCTTTTCCGGGTTCTTCGACTTCATCACCGACGCTCAATCGTGGGTATTCATCCGTCGATATCATTTCAACACCGTCGCCCGGCATTTTGTCACCTTTCATCTCCTCATCACCTGACGTTTTTATTGCCGTGACGTCATCAATTTTTTGCGGTCGATCGGAAAAGTTTTCGTTTGATTTCTCATCCGAGATTTCCAATGTTTTCATTTCGGTTACTTTAAGGATTTGGTTATCGATGGCATGACCGGATGGAACGTTTAATATTGTTACGGTATCCGCGAAATCTTTCAAACTTTCTAACGGTTTAGTCACTTTCTCTATCACGTCATCATTTTTACCGGTGGTTACGTCACCGATATTGTTAGTAGCAGCGTAATCGGTTATTTGCTGGGTATTAATGCTTCGGAGGGTTTTAGTTGCAACATCGTAATCATTTTCGGTAGTACTTAATTGCGTAATTTGTGGAATTGCAATGCCGTGAGTTGGTTTAGTTGTTAAAATCTTCATGACATTTTCCTCACCTGTGACGTCAGATTTGATTTTGTCTCCCGTCGGAGATTCCGACGAAATTTGTTGTTTTTCATTTTCTTTTTTTACATCTAATTTTTTTGTCTCTTTCTCTTCTTCTTCTTCTTCTTCTGCAATATCTTTCGATGAGGTAATTAATAACGATTCCGGTTCGGTAGGTGTCGTCGTCGGAGTAGTCGGTGTCGTGGTGGCGGTCGTTAAACTACCCTTTTTTTTATTAATCGCGCTCGATTTATCTTTACTTTCTTTTAAAATCCCTTTCAACGGTGGAACGTCTATTAAATCTCTCGATTCCAGGGATATTTGCGACGGTTTACGTAATTGATTCTGTAACATTTCTTCAATGACGTCGGAATCGTAAACGTCTTCGGAAAACGTGACCGATGAATTGCTCCTTTCCGTAACGTCTTCGGGTTCGTCCACTTCGTACTCCACGTTATCCTCGTCCGATGAATATTTTTTATCGTAGTCGCCCTCGTAAGGTGTGACCGCAGGTCTTTCACGTTGCGGCATTCTTTGACTGTGTACTCTCTTTTTAAAAGAAGGCATGGTTATTTGTGGCAAGGACTCGACGTTTCCGTTTCCGTTGTCATTCATCGATTCTTTTTCCTTTTCTTTTTCTTCTTCTTCTTCTTTTCCATTGCTTGTGAATTCCTTAAATTTATTTTTCTCACATTTATCGTCGTTTTCGTTCTTGGTATCGCGATCTGATATTGATTTTATATTGGAGGATTGTTGAGGTGTCGATTCTTTCACTATTGATTTCGGTTCTTGTTCCATAACTTGACCCGTTAAAACTCCTGCAATTAAGGCAGGAAATCTTTAGGTCTATTTTTTTTTTTTTTTCTAAAAGAGTTAAATATAATGACTGATATGATGATGATGATGATTGATGATGATGATGATGATGAGTATCAAATGATTCTTTTTGAAAGTGAATTATCATGATTTTATTACGTGATAAATTAAAAAATAATTTTTCTTTATAAAAAAATCACAAAAAACAACAAAAACAATAACAAAACAAGATCGTGTTTGTTCGTTTTCAATCGTGTTTGAAATCGTAAATGGAAAAAAAAAAAAAAAAAAAAAAATGTTTTTGCGTTAACTTTATTAGATATGCGTCACCCCAAAATACTCACTCTCAAAAGATATTATTAGGAAAAAAAATACGCACACGTGTGTATTTAAATACACAAGCGCACGTGTAATTAAAAAGCTACTAATTTAGATACACGATTATTTTTTTTAAAAAATTTTGAGTTACGTGAAAAAGTTACAACAATAAAAAAAAAGGAAAAAAGAAACAGCCAGGAACATCATCTGTCGCTTGAAGTTCGTTAAAGCTAAAAAAAAAAAAAAAAAAAAAAAAAAAAAAAAAATTTTTTTTTTTTTCTGTTCTTTTTTTTGTTTTCTTTTTAAATTACATGCTTGATGTTAGTCAAAAAAAAAAAAAAAAAAAAATTGTTTTCGTGGCAGAAGAGATCCCTTACAAAAAAAAAAAAAAAAAAATTATCGGGGAAACAGATCGAATCAGCCGGAAGTGGTGGTTGGTACTCCCACTACTAACTCGGAGGTTAGGTTTAGAGGATGTTTTAAGGGTGGAGATCCCGGTATCGAATCTCCCACTTTGACTAGGCTAGACGGATGCCTTGGGGGATCCCGAGATAGCCAGATTGAGTCCAAAAAGGGGAAAAATCGGCCCAAAAGTTACCGTGTTGAGAGTCGTGGGTTCTAATCCTGAGAGTGGGAGTTCAATTTCAGCTCGTCTAACAAGAACGGACATGAACCTAAATAAAGGTATAAGTGACCTAGAACCCTTTTGAGGCATTGGGGATGTTTCTTGTTCAAGGGGATGAAACTGGGTACTTGATCCAAATAGGGAAAATGCAGAGCTGCAACGTGAAAGGAAGACAGATGACTTGACTCACTCACTCTCTCTCTCTCTCTCTCTGGAAACTCGCAAACTGTGCGGAAAAGGCAGGAACGACGTTGGCAGCTCGGGTCTGTCTCTAGAGGGGTAAAAAGGGGAAGAAAAGGTACCGGGATCATCCTCGGGTAGAGCCCTGATGGTTCAGAAGGAGGTTGAGGCTGAAATGCAGGTTGCATTCGCCCCGCCCTTCGGGAATGAGTAGGAGTTTTAATCGGGTAGTAGCTTCGGCTGAGTCTCCCCACATTCTCCCTACTACCTACCGGACGGGGAGGTAAAAAAAGGGATCGGATCGACCACTCAAATTTTTTTTTTTTTTTTTTTTTTTTTTTTTTTATGATTTAAAATATAAGCTAAAGAACTCAAAAAAAAAAAAAAATTAAATTATTCTTACCGATAAAAATTTTTTAAATTCGACCCCTAATTAAATTTTTTTTTTTTTTTTTTTTAAACAACAGATAATTTCCATGGCTGTTTCTCGAAGATGGTATTGAGGAAAAATGATTTTTTTTTTACGATGAGATAAGGTTAATGGAAAGGGTAGTGGAGAGAGAATATGAGAAAAAGGAATCAAGTAAAAGGAAGTAATAGTAGTAAAAAGGAATATAAAACAGTAAAAGGAAAGGTTTTTTTTTCCAAATGTCGCGTTTTTTAACTTTAAAAAAAAATTTTTTTTTATTTTTCGCGGTAAAAATACCCGAAACCTTTGTCGGCAAATTCGGAATCGTCCGACTGAACGTTCAGACAATCGATTTCGCTCAAATTAAATTCATCATCATCATCATCATCATTTTCGCTCGCGCCTCGAATTCGAGAAAATTCCTCCGTCGGTTTCGTATAACGCGATATCAAATTCATTTTCGGCGGCATCATTCTCCATGATGAATCCGACGAATCGAATTGACTGTCGCTTAAAGACATCGAAGACGACGGCGACGAACGATTATTATTATTATTATTATTATGCGAATCGTAAAAAAGCAGACGACGACGATTTTCCGTATCTTTCGATACGCGATACGACGATTTTAAATTTGAAAGTATGTTTCCGCAACTTTGTGATTTTTTCCCTCCGCGAGGAGTTTTCATAACCGCCGAGCCACCGCCTTTACTAAACTTCATCGACGATTTATAATGATCGTCTTGCGGAAGTGACGTCAGAGATATGGATTCGAAAAGGGGTTTGAAATTATACGACGATGTTTTTTTCAATATCGATTTGGGTTTTTTAGGTTTCGTCAAATCTCTAAATTCTTTCTCGTAGGGCGTGTGAACGTAGATACGATTTATGAAAAGAGAGTTATCCGTTTTTGTATTTTCACCCACGTCAAACGAGTCCGTCGGAAAACGTCGTCTTTCCGTATCCGCTCGTCCGACGTCACGATTTTCTATCAAACATTCCATCGATTGTAATTTTTCGTATTTTTCCCGGGCCGTTTTCCTTTTCCGGTCGGAATTTAACGATTGCAACGATAACGTCATGGGTTTCGATAAAGCGGCGGAAGTAGTATCATTCAAATACGGTGACGCGTCGGCTCTTTGCCCGAAAACTTCCGAACATCTTCTATCGAACACGTGACTTTTAATGGCGGGTAATTTTTTTTCCCACCCGTTCCCACCACTCCAATTACTTATTTGTATTTGTGCTTTCGTCGGATCGATATCTCGAATCGATAAAACGATTCGAGGATTTTCAATATCTTCGCTATCTCCTCCCTCTTCCGATATTTCGAATATCGAACCTTTTGAATTTTTCGGGAGTCCGACTTTTCGCAAATCTAAAACGCTTTTCGACAACGCTTCGCTTTTCGAATCACTACGAAAATGAACGGCGTTCGTTTGTCGTTTGGATTTCGACGATTCGTCGTCGTCGTCGTCGTCGGCGGCGGGCACGACGAATTCAGGCGGTGACGTCATAAATTCCGATTTTAAATTTCCTAAACTTTTACTGGAGTGACGACGCGTTTTAAAAGAAGCCCCACCGTTTTCCATGAGCCAGGTATCGACGTCGCTCTGATTTAATTTTCTTATGAAATCATCGACGGACGAATAAAAAATTCTATCCTTTGGTTTTCCGTACGATTTTCCGCCATATTGAAAATTATTATTAAAACTTGAATCGTTTTCCTTTCTATAATAGTTGCAGTACGAATCGCACACGGGACTGTGAATTATGGCGTCGCGATACGAATTTTCATTTCCTTTTTTCGATAGTAAAAAAATCAACGAATCTAATTTATCGTTGTTTCCGGTTTGTGATTCCGGTTTTCCGGTTTTGCTCGTCGTAACGACCGTCACCGTTTTTTTTTTATAATGAGTGTATTCGATCACATCATCCGTCGGCGGTTTTGATTGCGTCACCCGAAAATTTTTCCCTACGTCATCGACGGATGTTTTTGATACTTTCTGAGGGGCGAAACCGGAAGTTGGATTAAAATCAGGTACGCGTCGATCGATGTTTGTTTTAGTGAAAATCACTTGCGATGTTTTTTCCGGTTCCGATTGACTCGTTCGGATCGGTTTTTTACGATCTTTCACGTCAGCGTCACCATCGCCGTCGATTCTGTGTAGTAATAAAATTTCTTCCATTTTTTTTATTTCCGCCGGAGTGAGTTTTTGTTTCCGTTTGTTTAAAATAACAACGTTACTGCTAGCGTCTGAACGAGGAGGTAACGCTTTCGATTGTTTTATCGTGTTTGTATAAGACGGAGGAATCGTTTCCGGTAAACGTTTTATTACACTTTCCGTTTTTCCCAAAATCGAATTCGGTGTTTTTATTTTTTTTCCTAACGACGACTCGTCTCGACGAACCGCGGTTTTATCCGCGATCATTTTATCCCGCGGCGACGATTTAAAAGCAGAAGACGTTTTGCTTTTTAAATTTTTAAATTCTTCGCAGGTTTCTTCTAATATTTTATCGAATTCTTGTTCGCTAGGTTCTAAAAGTTTTATGCTTGTATTATAATCGCTAACGGATAATATCCCTTGATTGACTAACATCCGTTCGAATTCATCCGATTGATAAAAATCAAATTTTGATTCGTCGTCACCGTCGCGACCGTCACCAGGATCACCCTCAACTTTTTCTAACTTTTTGCTAATATTCCCCCTATCCGACTTCGCGTCACCGTACGATTTCTCATCATTTTTTACCGTCGACGTTTTCACATTTGGAATTTGGGATTTCACAGGGGATTTTTCAAAGGATCGAGAGGATAAAAAGCGTGACATTGGATCTGTTGAATTTCGTTCCAGTGAATGGACACCGGGTAACCGTTGACGCTCTTCTAAATCTATACCAAAACATCAAAACAAATAATAATTTAATGGAATTATGCCTTAACCGTGACGTCATGACAATTTTCTTAATTAAAAAAAAACCTAATTTCCTCTTTCTTTCAACTTTCCTCTCCCCTCCCCCCTCTCCCTTCGAAAAACGAAATTATTTAAATTCAATTTACTTCCGGTTGCGTACGTCGGATATCATTATTCAATAAAAAAATCTATCAATAATAATAATAATAATAAATACTTAAGCACTTTATCGAAATTTTAATTCAATCGTTTACACGCACACGCACACACGCGTTCACGTGACCCTTTCATTCATTAATCAACAAAAACGCGTTGTTAATACACAAACAACATGGTGTCTCTCTCTCTCTCTCTCTCTCTAGCACGGTTTATTTTTTTCCGGTTTTAACTTCTTCCGGAAAGTTTTATACCTCGCACCTGTTTTACACAAACAATAATTTTAATCACAGGTACAACAACAACAACAACAACACAATTATCGCGACGCACAAAAAGCGTACAAAAGATTGCTCTGGTTAATAATAATCATAACGTGATAATGTTTTATTATGAGTTTTAAGCGTGTGTTAAACGTCCCCCCACGCGAACGTGGATACAACAACATAAAAAAAAAGTGCTTCGTTAATAATAATAATAATAAAATAAATCCGGGCGAACGAACGGTAAAAAAAAAAATTTCACGCGTTCCCGAATGCCAAAAAAAAATTTCCATTAAATCGATTCATCGATGGATCGATGGATCGATTTCGAGTTGTCATCACGTGGTGCGTTAATGATAATAACACGCACACATTTACACACACATTGACATGAATTGCACGCAATTGCTATTTCGTCTATTGCTCTATTGTTAATGATGATGATGTTGTTCAAGGTTCGTTAATAAAAACAATTTTTTTTTTTACGATGACACAAGAGCGGATATGGAAATGGCGGACAATGTGATAAATTACTGATTAGCTTTTTTTTTAAAAAAATTAATATGTATGCTAAAAATAATAATAATAATAAACTTTGAAGAAGAAAAGAAACAAAAAAAAAGAAGGCATGGAGAAAAAAATGGAAAAAAAATTATTTAAATCTTACCTTTCGTTTCGTAAACGTATTCTTCGCTTTGTCCTTTTTCACTCCAATCTGAAACAAAACAAAACCAAAAAAACCGTTTAGTATGATTTAAAGAACAGTGTTGCCAATTTGTTAATACAAAAAAACAACCGAACGTATCGGACACGTGCAAATAGTTATACGGGTGTAGTAGTAGTAGTAAAAAAATAAATACACCAACTGACCTGTATCGGATTTCGTCGAATCTCCATCTTTGCTATCGTATTGTTTACGCATCGTTTTTTCCGGTGTTACCAAACGAACGTCTAAAATGGGAGAAATGCGTTCTTCGTGAACGTGAGCGGGAGATGGTGACAAAGGTATTTTAGAAGGAGAAGAAGAAGAAGACATTTTGTTGGATTTGTTATTCGTGTCATGGTCCGGTTCTATTGTTATCGTCATGTCAAATTTTTTACACACGTCAGTTATGTCGGAAGAACGCTTTTTCATTTTCTGAGGCGAGGAGGAGGAGGAAGGTTGTTGTTGTTGTTGTTGTTGTTGTTTTTTGCTTATTTTCACGTTACCACCGACACTACCTTCCGCGTCCGACGGAGAACTCGGTAAAGCGACGGAATCACTCAACGACGAATCCGTCGTATCGATCATGGACGATTCACCTTCCGCGGTCACTTCCGGTTTTTTACTCGTATACTGCACGGTCGCGATCCTTTGCAAAACTTCGTTCGCGCTCGGTTGTTTGTACACGACTTCGAGCGGACCCGATTTTTCGAACGTTCGCGTGAATACTTCCGACGTTACGCGAAACACTCCGTTCGCACTTTTCGGACGTTTTAACGGGCTCGACGGAAGGGAGGATTGTCCGAAACCAGTTTCGATTTTACTAGGAGCCGAAGACACGAGTTTCGATCTAAGAGGACTCGGACCGCTCTGACGGCGTCCCTGTTCGGGTATGGATTGTAATAAAACGTTCAAAGGTTCCAAATTTCCGTCTTTGGTGGGTTGACAAGGTGGAGCGGATGCACTCCTCGATTCTGGTTCCGATGACGTATTGTCGGCAATACCCTTCTCGGTTTTATCTTCTTCTTTTTTGGGTTTTTCTTTTTCTTTTTTGACGTCACTTCTCGTCGCGGTCAAAGCAGAAGGTATTATTTTCGTAGCAGACGACGATGATATTTTCGTTAATTTTTTTTTATCGGGTTTCGGTATCATCGATTCGGATTTTTCCGCTGCCGTTCGTTTCTTCATCGGTGACGAGGGTGAATGTTCGATCGATGGTTTTTTCAAACGCGATTCCGTTTTATGTACTGTGACGTCATGAGTTTTATAAGGTTTCGTCGTTTGTTTTCCTGGAATTTTTTTAACGGTTTTCTCATCGGCGACTAGAGATTCTTTTTTCTTATCTTCTTTTCCAGTTTTTTCTTTAGGTTCTTTCAAACCTTTTTCTATCGTTCGATGATGTTCCGGAATGATTTTTGTTATTTTTACCGTTTGAACGATTTCTTTGGTTTGCTTTTCCAGTTTTCTCTCCGTTACTCTTTTCATTTTTCTCATTTTAGTTTCGTTGTTTTGTTCCGGTTGTTTTTTTAACGGATATTTTGCCAAATCGCTCGCGGACAAAAATATATCGTCTGATTTTCTCAAGTCCGATGATTTCACTCTTAGATTTTCCCTCGATGCTTTTATTGATGCCGATGTTGCTGATGATTCCGACGTACTTTTATGACGGCTCGAGTAGGCTATGGTTGTCGCCATGTAACCTTTCGTTTCTCCCGGTCTTATTTTTCTCGAAGGTGGTAATGGTTTCATTTCTTGTTCTTGCGGGATTTTCTTCGTCGCGACGATTGTCGTCGTACTCGTGATCCTTCTCGTTTTCGTCACACCCGTCGGATCGTTTTTAACACTTCTTCGATGTTTCTCCACGGAACTTTCTCTCTGTGACGATTCGGATAATGAATTATCCTTTTTGTTATCGTCCGATATCGATTCTTCTTTACTAATTTTTTTACGTATAGTTTTCGTTCTCGTTACGTCGGAAACTGTTTGCGTTTCCGGTTTTTTACGCATTATTCGACTTCCCATTTCTTTTTTCAAAATGTTTCGCGTATCTTTTTCAACTTTCTGCGGAAGTCTCGGTACTCTGGTTTTCTGCTTGGGCATTTCATCAGATGACAATTTACCATCGGTTTTTTCTTTATCGTCGATCGTGGTATCTTTTTGTACCAAAGATGGTTTTTTCCCGCCAATTTTTTTTGTTTTTATAACTTCCGTTTGTGACTTATGAGTTGTTGTTGTTGTCGTCGCGGTTTTCGATATCGGTTTTCGTCTTGCGTAAGTTTTGTCATCGACATCGAAATACGATTTTCTATAGGATGGTACGAGGGAGATTTTTTCAACATGCGGTTTTTGATATTCCGGTACTTTTTTCCTTTTTGAAATTTCCGTAACCGGTTCCGAAACGGTCACTTCTAAAATATCATTTTTCATGACGATGTCTTTTTGCGAAACTTCTTTAAATTTTACCGTTTCTTCAATCGGTGGTTTTACCGCCACAAATGAATGAGGATGTTTCAAAGAAGTAAAAGTTTGCTTTCTTCTTTCTCTCATATTATTAAAAATCGGTTTGGTATCCGATTCCGAATCTGGTTCCACGACCTCAAATCTGTCATCCGTTTTTGAATCTCCTTCAAGTGAATCTTTCGACGTCGTCATCATGTCAACATCCGTGGGTTTTAACGAATCGTAAAATTTCATTTGACCGTCGGATATTCCTTCCAAAGAATCCATTGTTGAATGTGCGCTTTGCGTCGGTAAATTATCCAAAGAATCTTCGAGCAAGGATTCTTTCGAATCGACTTTTTTAATTTCTAAAGAATCCATTTCCGATCTTTTCGAACTTTCTTTATCTTGCATTAGTGAATCCGGCGGTTCTAGCGACGTGTTTAATGAATCTTTAGAATTTAATGATTCATCTTCTCCTTCTTCTTCTTCTTCTTCCTCCTCCACGAAATCTTCTTCTTCCACTTTTTCTTCATCTTCATCTTCCTCTTCTTCGTATTCTTCATATTCTTCTTCTCTTTGCGACGCACTCGATTCTTTATATTCCGATTCATCAGAATATGTATAATTTGATTGTAATGAAGTTCCTGATTCTAACGAATCCAATTGATCGTGACCGAAACCATCACGAGTTTCCGGTTTTACCGGTATCGGAAGAGATCTCGTGGGTTGTTGTTGTTGTGGTTGTTGCTGTTGCTTCGACAAAGTATGTAATATTTTATCTTGTTTTCCATCGTCGTATGATTTATCAGATTCCGACGTGGTTTTAGTACGAGGTGACGATGATGATTCTTTTCCGTCACTTTTGACTTTTCTATGAAATTTTCTTTCCGGTTTTTCTTCTTCCGACGACGATGAATATTTTTTCGTTTTAACCGTACCTTTTCCTACCGTATCCGCCGTCGCACGTTTCATTTTTTTAGGCAATTCTTTACTTTCGTTAATTGGTTTTTTATGTTTGATGGTTTTGAATAGTGGTTCCGTCGTTGTCGAATCGATCGGACTATCCTTTTCAACAACCGTTTTTTTATTATCGTCTGCCGTCTTTGGTAATGTTGTTTCTTTTGATTCTGTGTCAAGGTCACTCGTATCTAAATCCGTCGTTTTGTCTTTTGTTATGTCGTCACGTGTTACTTCCTCTGGTCCCGTGGGTTCTCTTGTTTTTTCATCGGTCAAACTTTTTTTAACGGATTCGAGTTTTTCGACGGTAGATAATTTCGTTTCGATTTCTTTTACCGGTTCAACTATTTCCGTTTTGTCTACTTTATCGTCTTCCGTGACTTTATCAGGAGACTTCGTTACGTCAGTTGGTTTCGTTTGAACAGGTTCTGTTTTGTTTTTGTCTTCTTTTGTCTCTTTTTCCGTTTCACCAATTTTATCCGGTTCGGTAAATTTATTTGGGTCCATTTTTTGAAGTTTCGATAAAACGTCGCCATCTTTATCATCGACACCATCGGTGGTGGGAGTGGGAAGTTTTTGATCGCTTTTTTCTTGAGGCTTTATTGGAAGTTCTTGTGATGGCTCCTCTCTTATCTCTTCGGGTTTTATTTCATTTTTCGTAACCTTTTTCACATCTGGTTTTTTTGTTGGAATGTATGGCATGACGTAGTATATTTCCGAGAATAAAAATAATTCCGTTGTTTTTATTATGTTACTACCGTATATTTCTTCCGTCGGATGTTTCTCCAAATCCTGTTGTATCATTATTTCTTCTTTATTTAAACCTTCATCCGGTACTGAAGGCGTAATGTTTTCGTCGACAGGAGCGGCTTCATCAAATGTTTTTTCATTTTCACCATCCGATTTATCATCACAAAGTTTAGGCTCTTCGACCCTTTCGGTTTCGTTGAAAATTCGTTTTACGGATAATTCTTTCACTTCCATAGGATCATCAACCTTTTTCTTATCCTTTAAAATATTATCAAAATCGTGCTTATCTTTTTCGAATTTTTTCGATGATAACGGAGATTTCAAAAGTTGACGAGGTGACAAGTGAGGTGACAATTTTGATTCTTTATCGAAAATATCTTGTTCGTCCTCTTCAAATGACCAAGCTGGACTGGCTAAAAATCTCGCAGATTTATGTATAAAACATTTTATTCCAGTTAAACCCGGTTCAGAAAATTCATCGGTTTTACCTTTTTCTACATTTGGAAGACATAAAGAATCACTAGCATCCTCGAATTCATCATCATCATCAACACCGTAAGAAAATTTAGGACGAATTTTATTATACATTTCCTCGTAAGGAAGTTTCTTTGATAAACTATCAGTCAAAGGTTTCATTTTATTGCCTTTTGTTGGTGATTCTGGTTCCGACGGAGATTTCATGTCTTTCAATGGTTTTAATTTATCACGTTTTGTTGGTAATTCCGGTTCATCAGGAGTTATCATATCAGTCAAAGGTTTCAATTTATCTCGTTTAGTTGGTGATTCTGGTTCCGACGGTGATTTCATGTCTTTCAAAGGTTTTATTTTGTCCTCTCCTAACATCGATTTAGGTTCATCTGGTGTTTTCATATCAGTCAAAGGTTTCAATTTATCACGTTTAGTTGGTGATTCCGGTTCTGCTGGAGATTTCAAGTCTTTCAAAGGTTTTATTTTGTACTCTCCTAACATCGATTTAGGTTCATCTGGTGTTTTCATATCAGTCAAAGGTTTCAATTTGTCCCGTTTAGTTGGTGATTCCGGTTCTGCTGGAGATTTCATATCAGTCAAAGGTTTTAAATTGTCCCGTTTAGTTGGTGATTCTGGTTCTGCTGGAGATTTCAAGTCTTTCAAAGGTTTTATTTTGTCCTCTCCTAACATCGATTTAGGTTCATCTGGTGTTTTCATATCAGTCAAAGGTTTTAATTTATCACGTTTTGTTGGTGATTCCGGTTCTGCTGGAGTTTTCAAATCTTTCAAAGGTTTTAAATTGTCCTCTCCTAACATCGATTTAGGTTCATCTGGTGTTTTCATATCAGTCAAAGGTTTCAATTTATCACGTTTAGTTGGTGATTCCGGTTCTGCTGGAGATTTCATATCAGTCAAAGGTTTTAATTTGTCCCGTTTAGTTGGTGATTCTGGTTCTGCTGGAGATTTCAAGTCTTTCAAAGGTTTTATTTTGTCCTCTCCTAACATCGATTTAGGTTCATCAGGAGTTTTCATATCAGTCAAAGGTTTCAATTTGTCCCGTTTAGTTGGTGATTCTGGTTGCGACGGAGATGTCATATCAGTCAAAGGTTTCAATTTATCGCGTTTAGTTGGTGATTCCGGTTCCGACGGAGATTTCATGTCTTTCAAAGGTTTTATTTTGTCCTCTCCTAACATCGATTTAGGTTCATCTGGTGTTTTCATATCAGTCAAAGGTTTCAATTTGTCCCGTTTAGTTGGTGATTCTGGTTGAAACGGAGATTTCATATCAGTCAAAGGTTTCAATTTATCGCGTTTAGTTGGTGATTCCGGTTCTGCTGGAGATTTCATATCAGTCAAAGGTTTCAATTTGTCCCGTTTAGTTGGTGATTCTGGTTCTGCTGGAGATTTCAAGTCTTTCAAAGGTTTTATTTTGTCCTCTCCTAACATCGATTTAGGTTCATCAGGAGTTTTCATATCAGTCAAAGGTTTCAATTTGTCCCGCTTAGTTGGTGATTCTGGTTCCGACGGAGATTTCATATCAGTCAAAGGTTTCAATTTATCCCGTTTAGTTGGTGATTCCGGTTCTGCTGGAGATTTCATGTCTTTCAAAGGTTTTATTTTGTCCTCTCCTAACATCGATTTAGGTTCATCTGGAGTTTTCATATCAGTCAAAGGTTTCAATTTGTCCCGTTTAGTTGGTGATTCTGGTTCTGCTGGAGATTTCAAGTCTTTCAAAGGTTTTATTTTGTCCTCTCCTAACATCGATTTAGGTTCATCTGGTGTTTTCATATCAGTCAAAGGTTTTAATTTATCACGTTTTGTTGGTGATTCCGGTTCTGCTGGAGTTTTCAAATCTTTCAAAGGTTTTAAATTGTCCTCTCCTAAGGGCGATTTGGGTTCATCAGGAGTTTTCATATCAGTCAAAGGTTTTAATTTGTCCCGTTTAGTTGGTGATTCTGGTTCTGCTGGAGATTTCATGTCTTTCAAAGGTTTTAATTTGTCTTCTTTTAATAGCAATTTAGGTTCATCTTGAGTTTTCATATCAGTCAAAGGTTTTATTTTGTTTTCTCCTAAGGGCGATTTAGGTTCATCTGGAGTTTTCATATCAGTCATAGGTTTTAATTTATCCCGTTTAGTTGGTGATTCCGGTTCTGCTGGAGATTTCGTGTCTTTCAAAGGTTTCAATTTGTCCTCTCCTAACATCGATTTAGGTTCATCTGCTGTTTTCATATCAGTCAAAGGTTTTAATTTGTCCTCTCCTAAGGGCGATTTAGGTTCATCTGGAGTTTTCATATCAGTCAAAGGTTTTAATTTGTCCCGTTTAGTTGGTGATTCCGGTTCGTCAGGAGTTTTCATATCAGTCAAAGGTTTCAATTTATCCCGTTTAGTTGGTGATTCTGGTTCATCTGGAGTTTTCATATCAGTCAAAGGTTTTAATTTGTCGTCTTTTAATAGCGATTTAGGTTCATCTGGAGTTTTCATATCAGTCAAAGGTTTCAATTTATCCCGTTTAGTTGGTGATTCTGGTTCATCTGGAGTTTTCAAATCTTTCAAAGGTTTTATTTTGTCCTCTCCTAACATCGATTTAGGTTCATCTGGTGTTTTCATATCAGTCAAAGGTTTCAATTTATCCCGTTTAGTTGGTGATTCTGGTTCATCTGGAGTTTTCATATCAGTCAAAGGTTTTAATTTGTCGTCTTTTAATAGCGATTTAGGTTCATCTGGAGTTTTCATATCAGTCAAAGGTTTCAATTTGTCCCGCTTAGTTGGTGATTCTGGTTCATCTGGAGTTTTCATATCAGTCAAAGGTTTCAATTTGTCCCGTTTAGTTGGTGATTCTGGTTCATCGGAGATTTCATATCAGTCAAAGGTTTCAATTTATCCCGTTTAGTTGGTGATTCCGGTTCTGCTGGAGATTTCATGTCTTTCAAAGGTTTTAATTTGTCCTCTCCTAACGGCGATTTAGGTTCATCAGGAGTTTTCATATCAGTCAAAGGTTTCAATTTGTCCCGTTTAGTTGGTGATTCCGGTTCTGCTGGAGATTTCATATCAGTCAAAGGTTTTAATTTATCACGTTTTGTTGGTGATTCCGGTTCTGCTGGAGATTTCATGTCTTTCAAAGGTTTTAATTTGTCCTCTCCTAACGGCAATTTAAGTTCATCAGGAGTTTTCATATCAGTCAAAGGTTTCAATTTATCACGTTTAGTTGGTGATTCTGGTTCTGCTGGAGATTTCATATCAGTCAAAGGTTTCAATTTGTCCCGTTTAGTTGGTGATTCTGGTTCATCTGGAGTTTTCATATCAGTCAAAGTTTTCAATTTGTCCTCTCCTAAGGGCGATTTATGTTCATCAGGAGTTTTCATATCAGTCAAAGGTTTCAATTTGTCCCGTTTAGTTGGTAATTCTGGTTCCGACGGAGATTTCATGTCCTTCAAAGGTTTTATTTTGTCCTCTCCTAACATCGATTTAGGTTCATCAGGAGTTTTCATATCAGTCAAAGGTTTCAATTTGTCCCGTTTAGTTGGTGATTCCGGTTCTGCTGGAGATTTCATATCAGTCAAAGGTTTTAATTTATCACGTTTTGTTGGTGATTCCGGTTCTGCTGGAGTTTTCAAATCTTTCAAAGGTTTTAATTTGTCCTCTCCTAAGGGCGATTTGGGTTCATCAGGAGTTTTCATATCAGTCAAAGGTTTCAATTTGTCCCGTTTAGTTGGTGATTCTGGTTCCGACGGAGATTTCATGTCCTTCAAAGGTTTTATTTTGTCCTCTCCTAACATCGATTTAGGTTCATCTGGTGTTTTCATATCAGTCAAAGGTTTCAATTTATCACGTTTAGTTGGTGATTCCGCTTCTGCTGGAGATTTCATATCAGTCAAAGGTTTTAATTTGTCCCGTTTAGTTGGTAATTCTGGTTCCGACGGAGATTTCATGTCCTTCAAAGGTTTTATTTTGTCCTCTCCTAACATCGATTTAGGTTCATCTGGTGTTTTCATATCAGTCAAAGGTTTTAATTTATCACGTTTTGTTGGTGATTCCGGTTCTGCTGGAGTTTTCAAATCTTTCAAAGGTTTTAAATTGTCCTCTCCTAAGGGCGATTTAGGTCCATCTGGAGTTTTCATATCAGTCAAAGGTTTCAATTTATCCCGTTTAGTTGGTGATTCCGGTTCTGCTGGAGATTTCATGTCAGTCAAAGGTTTTATTTTGTCCTCTCCTAACATCGATTTAGGTTCATCTGGAGTTTTCATATCAGTCAAAGGTTTTAATTTGTCCCGTTTAGTTGGTGATTCCGGTTCATCTGGAGTTTTCATATCAGTCAAAGGTTTCAATTTATCCCGTTTAGTTGGTGATTCCGGTTCCGACGGAGATTTCATGTCTTTCAAAGGTTTTATTTTGTCCTCTCCTAACATCGATTTAGGTTCATCTGGAGTTTTCATATCAGTCAAAGGTTTTAATTTATCCCGTTTAGTTGGTGATTCTGGTTCTGCTGGAGATTTCAAGTCTTTCAAAGGTTTTATTTTGTCCTCTCCTAACATCGATTTAGGTTCATCTGGAGTTTTCATATCAGTCAAAGGTTTCAATTTGTCCCGTTTAGTTGGTGATTCTGGTTCATCTGGAGTTTTCATATCAGTCAAAGGTTTCAATTTGTCCCGCTTAGTTGGTGATTCTGGTTCCGACGGAGATTTCATATCAGTCAAAGGTTTCAATTTATCACGTTTAGTTGGTGTTTCCGGTTCTGCTGGAGTTTTCAAATCAGTCAAAGGTTTTAGTTTGTCATCTTTTAATAGCGATTTACGTTCATCTGGAGTTTTCATATCAGTCAAAGGTTTTAATTTCTCCCGTTTAGTTGGTGATTCCGGTTCTGCTGGAGATTTCATATCAGTCAAAGGTTTTAATTTATCACGTTTTGTTGGTGATTCCGGTTCTGCTGGAGTTTTCAAATCTTTCAAAGGTTTTAAATTGTCCTCTCCTAAGGGCGATTTGGGTTCATCAGGAGTTTTCATATCAGTCAAAGGTTTCAATTTGTCCCGTTTAGTTGGTGATTCCGGTTCTGCTGGAGATTTCATATCAGTCAAAGGTTTTAATTTGTCCCGTTTAGTTGGTGATTCTGGTTCCGACGGAGATTTCATGTCCTTCAAAGGTTTTATTTTGTCCTCTCCTAACATCGATTTAGGTTCATCTGGTGTTTTCATATCAGTCAAAGGTTTCAATTTGTCCCGTTTAGTTGGTGATTCTGGTTCATCTGGAGTTTTCATATCAGTCAAAGGTTTTAATTTATCACGTTTTGTTGGTGATTCCGGTTCTGCTGGAGATTTCATGTCTTTCAAAGGTTTTAATTTGTCCTCTCCTAACGGCAATTTAAGTTCATCAGGAGTTTTCATATCAGTCAAAGGTTTCAATTTGTCCCGTTTAGTTGGTAATTCTGATTCCGACGGAGATTTCAAGTCTTTCAAAGGTTTTAATTTGTCCTCTCCTAAGGGCGATTTGGGTTCATCAGGAGTTTTCATATCAGTCAAAGGTTTCAATTTGTCCCGTTTAGTTGGTGATTCTGGTTCATCTGGAGTTTTCATATCAGTCAAAGGTTTTAATTTATCACGTTTTGTTGGTGATTCCGGTTCTGCTGGAGTTTTCAAATCTTTCAAAGGTTTTAATTTATCACGTTTTGTTGGTGATTCCGGTTCTGCTGGAGATTTCATATCAGTCAAAGGTTTTAATTTATCACGTTTTGTTGGTGATTCTGGTTCCGACGGAGATTTCATGTCTTTCAAAGGTTTTATTTTGTCCTCTCCTAACGGCGATTTAGGTTCATCAGGAGTTTTCATATCAGTCAAAGGTTTCAATTTGTCCCGTTTAGTTGGTGATTCTGGTTCTGCTGGAGATTTCATGTCTTTCAAAGGTTTTATTTTGTCCTCTCCTAACATCGATTTAGGTTCATCTGGTGTTTTCATATCAGTCAAAGGTTTCAATTTATCACGTTTAGTTGGTGATTCCGGTTCTGCTGGAGATTTCATATCAGTCAAAGGTTTCAATTTATCCCGTTTAGTTGGTGATTCTGGTTCCGACGGAGATTTCATGTCTTTCAAAGGTTTTATTTTGTCCTCTCCTAACATCGATTTAGGTTCATCAGGAGTTTTCATATCAGTCAAAGGTTTCAATTTGTCCCGTTTAGTTGGTGATTCTGGTTCCGACGGAGATTTCATATCAGTCAAAGGTTTCAATTTATCGCGTTTAGTTGGTGATTCCGGTTCTGCTGGAGATTTCATATCAGTCAAAGGTTTCAATTTGTCCCGTTTAGTTGGTGATTCTGGTTCTGCTGGAGATTTCAAGTCTTTCAAAGGTTTTATTTTGTCCTCTCCTAACATCGATTTAGGTTCATCAGGAGTTTTCATATCAGTCAAAGGTTTCAATTTGTCCCGTTTAGTTGGTGATTCTGGTTCCGACGGAGATTTCATATCAGTCAAAGGTTTCAATTTATCCCGTTTAGTTGGTGATTCCGGTTCTGCTGGAGATTTCATATTAGTCAAAGGTTTCAATTTGTCCCGCTTAGTTGGTGATTCTGGTTCCGACGGAGATGTCATATCAGTCAAAGGTTTCAATTTATCGCGTTTAGTTGGTGATTCCGGTTCCGACGGAGATTTCATGTCTTTCAAAGGTTTTATTTTGTCCTCTCCTAACATCGATTTAGGTTCATCTGGTGTTTTCATATCAGTCAAAGGTTTCAATTTGTCCCGTTTAGTTGGTGATTCTGGTTGAAACGGAGATTTCATATCAGTCAAAGGTTTCAATTTATCGCGTTTAGTTGGTGATTCCGGTTCTGCTGGAGATTTCATATCAGTCAAAGGTTTCAATTTGTCCCGTTTAGTTGGTGATTCTGGTTCTGCTGGAGATTTCAAGTCTTTCAAAGGTTTTATTTTGTCCTCTCCTAACATCGATTTAGGTTCATCAGGAGTTTTCATATCAGTCAAAGGTTTCAATTTGTCCCGTTTAGTTGGTGATTCTGGTTCCGACGGAGATTTCATATCAGTCAAAGGTTTCAATTTATCCCGTTTAGTTGGTGATTCCGGTTCATCTGGAGTTTTCATATCAGTCAAAGGTTTTAATTTGTCGTCTTTTAATAGCGATTTAGGTTCATCTGGAGTTTTCATATCAGTCAAAGGTTTTAATTTATCACGTTTTGTTGGTGATTCCGGTTCTGCTGGTGTTTTCATATCAGTCAAAGGTTTTATTTTGTCCCGTTTAGTTGGTGATTCCGGTTCCGACGGTAATTTCATGTGAGTCAAAGGTTTTAATTTATCGCCTTTTGTTGGTGATTCTGGTTCCGACGGTGATTTCATATCTTTCAAAGGTTTTATTTTGTACTCTCCTAACATCGATTTAGGCTCATCTGGTGTTTTCATATCAGTCAAAGGTTTTAATTTATCACGTTTTGTTGGTGATACCGGTTCTGCTGGAGATTTCATATCAGTCAAAGGTTTTAATTTATCCCGTTTAGTTGGTGATTCTGGTTCATCTGGAGTTTTCATATCAGTCAAAGGTTTTAATTTATCCCGTTTAGTTGGTGATTCTGGTTCATCTGGAGTTTTCATATCAGTCAAAGGTTTTAATTTGTCGTCTTTTAATAGCGATTTAGGTTCATCTGGAGTTTTCATATCAGTCAAAGGTTTCAATTTATCCCGTTTAGTTGGTGATTCTGGTTCATTTGGAGTTTTCAAATCTTTCAAAGGTTTTAATTTGTCGTCTTTTAATAGCGATTTAGGTTCATCTGGAGTTTTCATATCAGTCAAAGGTTTTAATTTATCACGTTTTGTTGGTGATTCCGGTTCTGCTGGAGTTTTCAAATCTTTCAAAGGTTTTATTTTGTCCTCTCCTAAGGGCGATTTGGGTTCATCAGGAGTTTTCATATCAGTCAAAGGTTTCAATTTGTCCCGTTTAGTTGGTGATTTTGGTTCATCTGGAGTTTTCATATCAGTCAAAGGTTTTAATTTATCACGTTTTGTTGGTGATTCCGGTTCTGCTGGAGTTTTCAAATCTTTCAAAGGTTTTAAATTGTCCTCTCCTAAGGGCGATTTAGGTCCATCTGGAGTTTTTATATCAGTCAAAGTTTTCAATTTATCCCGTTTAGTTGGTGATTCCGGTTCTGCTGGAGATTTCAAGTCTTTCAAAGGTTTTAATTTGTCCTCTCCTAACATCGATTTAGGTTCATCTGGTGTTTTCATATCAGTCAAAGGTTTTAATTTATCACGTTTTGTTGGTGATTCCGGTTCTGCTGGAGTTTTCAAATCTTTCAAAGGTTTTAAATTGTCCTCTCCTAAGGGCGATTTGGGTTCATCAGGAGTTTTCATATCAGTCAAAGGTTTCAATTTGTCCCGTTTAGTTGGTGATTCTGGTTCCGACGGAGATTTCATATCAGTCAAAGGTTTCAATTTATCCCGTTTAGTTGGTGATTCCGGTTCTGCTGGAGTTTTCAAATCAGTCAAAGGTTTTAGTTTGTCATCTTTTAATAGCGATTTAGGTTCATCTGGAGTTTTCATATCAGTCAAAGGTTTTAATTTCTCCCGTTTAGTTGGTGATTCCGGTTCTGCTGGAGATTTCATATCAGTCAAAGGTTTCAATTTATCACGTTTAGTTGGTGATTCCGGTTCCGACAGAGATTTCATGTCTTTCAAAGGTTTTATTTTGTCCTCTCCTAACATCGATTTAGGTTCATCTGGTGTTTTCATATCAGTCAAAAGTTTCAATTTATCCCGTTTAGTTGGTGATTCTGGTTCTGCTGGAGATTTCAAGTCTTTCAAAGGTTTTATTTTGTCCTCTCCTAACATCGATTTAGGTTCATCAGGAGTTTTCATATCAGTCAAAGGTTTCAATTTGTCCCGCTTAGTTGGTGATTCTGGTTCCGACGGAGATTTCATATCAGTCAAAGGTTTCAATTTATCCCGCTTAGTTGGTGATTCCGGTTCTGCTGGAGATTTCATATCAGTCAAAGTTTTCAATTTATCCCGTTTAGTTGGTGATTCCGGTTCTGCTGGAGATTTCATGTCAGTCAAAGGTTTTATTTTGTCCTCTCCTAACATCGATTTAGGTTCATCTGGTGTTTTCATATCAGTCAAAGGTTTCAATTTATCACGTTTAGTTGGTGTTTCTGGTTCTGCTGGAGATTTCATGACAGTCAAAGGTTTCAATTTGTCCCGCTTAGTTGGTGATTCTGGTTCCGACGGAGATTTCATATCAGTCAAAGGTTTCAATTTATCCCGTTTAGTTGGTGATTCCGGTTCTGCTGCAGTTTTCAAATCAGTCAAAGGTTTTAGTTTGTCATCTTTTAATAGCGATTTACGTTCATCTGGAGTTTTCATATCAGTCAAAGGTTTCAATTTGTCCCGTTTAGTTGGTGATTCTGGTTCATCTGGAGTTTTCATATCAGTCAAAGGTTTTAATTTATCACGTTTTGTTGGTGATTCCGGTTCTGCTGGAGATTTCATGTCTTTCAAAGGTTTTAATTTGTCCTCTCCTAACGGCAATTTAAGTTCATCAGGAGTTTTCATATCAGTCAAAGGTTTCAATTTGTCCCGTTTAGTTGGTAATTCTGATTCCGACGGAGATTTCAAGTCTTTCAAAGGTTTTAATTTGTCCTCTCCTACGGGCGATTTAGGCTCATCTGGAGATTTCATATCAGTCAAAGGTTTCAATTTGTCCCGTTTAGTTGGTGATTCTGGTTCATCTGGAGTTTTCATATCAGTCAAAGGTTTCAATTTATCCCGTTTAGTTGGTGATTCCGGTTCTGCTGGAGATTTCATGTCAGTCAAAGGTTTTATTTTGTCCTCTCCTAACATCGATTTAGGTTCATCTGGTGTTTTCATATCAGTCAAAGGTTTCAATTTATCACGTTTAGTTGGTGTTTCTGGTTCTGCTGGAGATTTCATGACAGTCAAAGGTTTCAATTTGTCCCGTTTTGTTGGTGATTCCGGTTCTGCTGGAGTTTTCAAATCTTTCAAAGGTTTTATTTTGTCCTCTCCTAACATCGATTTAGGTTCATCAGGAGTTTTCATATCAGTCAAAGGTTTCAATTTGTCCCGTTTAGTTGGTGATTCTGGTTCCGACGGAGATTTCATATCAGTCAAAGGTTTCAATTTATCCCGTTTAGTTGGTGATTCCGGTTCTGCTGGAGATTTCATATCAGTCAAAGGTTTCAATTTGTCCCGTTTAGTTGGTGATTCTGGTTCATCTGGAGTTTTCATATCAGTCAAAGGTTTTAATTTGTCCCGTTTAGTTGGTGATTCCGGTTCTGCTGGAGTTTTCATATCAGTCAAAGGTTTTATTTTGTCATCTTTTAATGGCGATTTAGGTTCATCTGGAGTTTTCATATCAGTCAAAGGTTTTAATTTATCCCGTTTAGTTGGTGATTCCGGTTCCGCCGGAGATTTCGTGTCTTTCAAAGGTTTCAATTTGTCCTCTCCTAAAATCGATTCCGGTTCTGCTAGAGTTTTCATATCAGTCAAAGGTTTTATTTTGTCCTCTCCTAAGGGCGATTTAGGTTCATCTGGAGTTTTCATATCAGTCAAAGGTTTTAATTTTTCCTTTCCTAAGGGCGATTTAGGTTCATCTGGAGTTTTCATATCAGTCAAAGGTTTTAATTTTTCCTCTCCTAAGGGCGATTTAGGTTCATCTGGAGTTTTCATATCAGTCAAAGGTTTTATTTTGTCCCGTTTAGTTGGTGATTCCGGTTCTGCTGGAGATTTCATATCAGTCAAAGTTTTTATTTTGTCCCGTTCTACATCGTGATTCCGGTTCATCTGGAGATTTCATATCAGTCAAAGTTTTTATTTTGTCCCGTTTAGTTGGTGATTCTGGTTCTGCTGGAGATTTCAAGTCTTTCACAGGTTTTAATTTGTCTTCTTTTAATAGCAATTTAGGTTCATCTGGAGTTTTCATATCAGTCAAAGGTTTTATTTTGTCCTCTCCTAAGGGCGATTTAGGTTCATCTGGAGTTTTCATATCAGTCAAAGGTTTCAATTTGTCCCGTTTAGTTGGTGATTCTGGTTCATCTGGAGTTTTCATATCAGTCAAAGGTTTCAATTTGTCCTCTCCTACGGGCGATTTAGGCTCATCTGGAGATTTCATATCAGTCAAAGGTTTCAATTTGTCCCGCTTAGTTGGTGATTCTGGTTCATCTGGAGTTTTCATATCAGTCAAAGGTTTCAATTTGTCATCTCCTAAGGGCGATTTATGTTCATCAGGAGTTTTCATATCAGTCAAAGGTTTTAATTTATCACGTTTTGTTGGTGATTCCGGTTCTGCTGGAGATTTCAAGTCTTTCAAAGGTTTTATTTTGTCCTCTCCTAACATCGATTTAGGTTCATCAGGAGTTTTCATATCAGTCAAAGGTTTCAATTTGTCCCGTTTAGTTGGTGATTCCGGTTCTGCTGGAGATTTCATATCAGTCAAAGGTTTTAATTTATCACGTTTTGTTGGTGATTCCGGTTCTGCTGGAGATTTCATGTCTTTCAAAGGTTTTAATTTGTCCTCTCCTAACGGCAATTTAAGTTCATCAGGAGTTTTCATATCAGTCAAAGGTTTCAATTTATCACGTTTAGTTGGTGTTTCTGGTTCTGCTGGAGATTTCATGACAGTCAAAGGTTTTAATTTATCACGTTTTGTTGGTGATTCCGGTTCTGCTGGAGTTTTCAAATCTTTCAAAGGTTTTAAATTGTCCTCTCCTAAGGGCGATTTATGTTCATCAGGAGTTTTCATATCAGTCAAAGGTTTCAATTTGTCCCGTTTAGTTGGTGATTCTGGTTCTGCTGGAGATTTCAAGTCTTTCAAAGGTTTTATTTTGTCCTCTCCTAACATCGATTTAGGTTCATCTGGTGTTTTCATATCAGTCAAAGGTTTCAATTTATCACGTTTAGTTGGTGATTCTGGTTCATCTGGAGTTTTCATATCAGTCAAAGGTTTCAATTTGTCCCGTTTAGTTGGTGATTCCGGTTCTGCTGGAGATTTCATATCAGTCAAAGGTTTCAATTTGTCCCGTTTAGTTGGTGATTCTGGTTCATCTGGAGTTTTCATATCAGTCAAAGGTTTCAATTTGTCATCTCCTAAGGGCGATTTATGTTCATCAGGAGTTTTCATATCAGTCAAAGGTTTCAATTTGTCCCGTTTAGTTGGTGATTCTGGTTCCGACGGAGATTTCATGTCCTTCAAAGGTTTTATTTTGTCCTCTCCTAACATCGATTTAGGTTCATCTGGTGTTTTCATATCAGTCAAAGGTTTCAATTTATCACGTTTAGTTGGTGATTCCGGTTCTGCTGGAGATTTCATATCAGTCAAAGGTTTCAATTTATCCCGTTTAGTTGGTGATTCCGGTTCTGCTGGAGTTTTCAAATCAGTCAAAGGTTTTAGTTTGTCATCTTTTAATAGCGATTTAGGTTCATCTGGAGTTTTCATATCAGTCAAAGGTTTTAATTTCTCCCGTTTAGTTGGTGATTCCGGTTCTGCTGGAGATTTCATATCAGTCAAAGGTTTCAATTTATCACGTTTTGTTGGTGATTCCGGTTCCGACGGTAATTTCATGTCTTTCAAAGGTTTTAATTTATCCCGTTTTGTTGGTAATTCCGGTTCTGTTGGAGATTTCATATCAGTCAAATGTTTTAATTTATCACGTTTTGTTGGTGATTCCGGTTCATCAGGAGTTTTCATATCAGTCAAAGGTTTCAATTTGTCCCGTTTAGTTGGTAATTCTGGTTCCGACGGAGATTTCAAGTCTTTCAAAGGTTTTAATTTGTCCTCTCCTACGGGCGATTTAGGCTCATCTGGAGTTTTCATATCAGTCAAAGGTTTTAATTTTTCCCGTTTAGTTGGTGATTCCGGTTCTACTGGAGATTTCATATCAGTCAAAGGTTTCAATTTATCTCGTTTAGTTGGTGATTCCGGTTCCGACGGTGATTTCATGTCTTTCAAATGTTTTAATTTGTCCTCTCCTAACGGCGATTTAGGTTCTTCTGGTGTTTTCATATCAGTCAAAGGTTTGAATTTATCGCCTTTTGTTGGTGATTCTGGTTCTGGTGGAGTTTGTATATCAGTAATTGTTTTTTCTTTTTTACTTTTTGGTTCTTGTTTTTCCATACTTTTAACCGGATGTGTTCCTGGACTCAATGCTCCTTTTACTCCGTAGTATATTCTTGAGAGAAAACCAGGCGTTTTGTCTTTTTCTTCGTCCGGTGTTTTATTTTCTTTTTCTTCTTCTAATGATATTTGTATTTTTTCGTTTTCAATAATTTCATCCTTTTTGGTTTCTTGGAGTTGAATTTTTTCATGATGTTTTATTTCCATATTTTCATGCATGTCATCAATTTTATCGTGTTTCAATTCGTCTTTTTCGGGTTCTACTATTTTTTCATCTTTTATTCCTTTCGTTATTTTTTTGCTCTGCATTGTTATAGTCTTTGTAGTTATAGATTCGTCTGTTAGTGAAGTGTCAAAGGTTTCGTCATATAATTCTGTCGTTTTTTCGGTAATTTTTTGTCGACTTTGGAATGTATCGCGTGGTTCTAAATCGTCATCATGCCCCTTTTTCATATCATGTATTTCTTTCATTTGTATTGATGTGACTCGAACGCTATCATCTTTTTTCAAATCTTTATCATCTGAAAATTTTTGTTTTCTCTCACTGATAAATTTAATTTTTTCATCTTTTAAAATTTCTTTTACAGTTTGATGAGATTTTTCCCCGACGGAAGTTTGAGGGAATTCATAAAATTCTTCTTCTGGTGTTTTCATATCCGGTACGGATGATTTCGTTTGATTAAAATCAAATTTCATTCTTGCTATTTTCTCAGGGAGCACCGAAACGGTTTGATACGAATCGATTTCTCTCGATTTTGGAGTTTCCGGTAGCTTGTCATCATCGATCACTTTGATTGTTTTGATCGATTTGACGTCATCATCGTCGTCTGCATGCTTTTCATCTTTTTCTATTTTTTCTTTCGTTTTTTTATCGTCTGTTTGTTCTTCAGGTTCTTCAGGTTTGTCTTCAAGAGGTTCTTTTACCGTCGTTATAAATGGTTTAAACTCTTCTTCTGGAGTTTTCATATCGGGAATCGCAGGGACTGATTTAATTATTGTCTCGTCATCTTTTTCACGTTCCTTTTCCGTCGGCAACGTACTCGTAGGAGATTTCATTTCCGGTTTTGACTCATCCGACTCTTTCGTATCTCTTATCACGAATTGTTGTTCACCGTCTGATTTTTCATCTTCCGTTTCAGAAGCTTTTCTTTTCGATGGACTTAATGCGTCTTTAACGCCGCGATATAATCTGGAAAGGAAACCCGGTTCTTCCTGTTCCGGTTTTACACTCTTTTCACTTACTTCATCATCATCAATATCATCAACATCCGGTTTGTCTTTTTTGTGTTTTACGTCATCAATTTGAGTCGTGAATAATATTTCAATTTCTTTTTCTTCTTCAGGTGTTTTCATGTCTGGTAAAACAGTTAATTTTTTAACAACCACGAATCCCGTTTTGTCGTCATCCGGTACCGATTTTTTAAATTCTTTCTCGTCTGGACTTGTCATATCCGGTAAATGTGCGGTCGTGTCTTTTTGCAAATCCGAAACTTTCAGGATTCCAGGTAACGTTTTAGGTTTTTCCAATTTCTTTTCCCCATCTTTTGGAGGTTTTTCATCCACGTATGAATCTTTTGTTTTTACCACCTCGGATTCCTCATCTTCAGGTTTTTTAACTTTTTCGTCTTTTTCTTTTGTTTCTTTCGATACGATACTTGGTTCTTCCTCGGATTGTATTTCCGTTGGCGAGTCTTTGAGTTTTTCTTTTGGTTTTTCTTTCGAATCGATTTTTCCTATTTTTATTTCTTCCGGTTTTTCTTCTGATTCCTTATATTTTTGCACGGTTGTGTCCAGTTTTGTCATTGAGATTCCTTTTTTCTTATCATCCTCGGGAGATTCCGATGGGCTTTTTTCTGGCGTCACGAAGTCTTTCGAAGGTTTTTCAATTTCGGACTCTTTTAGAATTTTCTTTGGTACGGTTTTACTTTCAATCGATTTTTTTTCTGCGTCGGAAAATGCTTTTTCACTCTCCAAAAACGTTTTCAAAGATTCTTCTGACGTATCTTTGTCGCGGCGTTTTAAAGGGGTTGTTTCCGGTTTCTTGTCGGTTGTGGTATCCGGTTCGTCTCGTTGTAAATCTTTTAACTTTTCCGAAATTTTCTCATCGTCAAATTTTCCGATTTTAATTTGTTTTGTTACTATTATTTCATCGGTTTTGGTAAGTTCGTCTGTTTCCGGTGGTGTTTTTTCTTCCGGTGATTTTTTAGAAAGTTTTGGTTTGTCGTGCGAATCCCGTTCTTCTGAAATGAACACTTCTACATGTTTGACTTTATGAATCGTGTCATCATCAAGTTTTTGTTTTTCCAGTTTATCATCTTTTTCCAGAGTTTTATCATCTTCCGGTTCGGATTTTATTTTTTCCGTGTATGTACTTTCAATAATTGGTTTAAAATCTTTTTCTTCGTCATCCGTTTCGGGTGATTTGACTTCGTCGTAAACGATTTCTGGAATTTCTTTACGTTTTGATTTTTCTATTTCTTTTATGGGTCTTTCGATAAATTGTTTTTCTTGTCTTAAAAAGTCATCAACGGTTTTTATTGTTTTTCTCGTTGTTATTATTTCATCGTCGTATTTTGTGGATTTTTCTTTTGTTAATTCGTCCGGGGATGTTTTATCATCCGGTTTTGTGCCTGGTAATTTTTGTTCGGGTATCACCACATCTTTTATTGACTCGTCTATTTCTGTTTTAATTTCCTTTGTTATCTCAACGGTTGTGATTTTTTCCTTAGGTTCATCAACTTTTGGTGTTTTATCACTTTCCTTTTTATCGGGCTTCTTTTCAGATTCATCTTTCCTATCGAGGATCCTTTCCGGTTCTTCTTTTTTATCGAGGATCCTTTCCAATTCATCTTTTTTGTCAGGTTTCTTTTCCGGTTTTTCTTTCTTATCTAGGATCTTGTCCGGTTTTTCTTTTTTATCGAAGGTTTTTTCCGGTTCTTCTTCTACATCAAAGAATTTTTCTGGTTCGTCTTTTTTAACGATCTTCTTTTCCGGTTCCTCTTTCATATCTAGGATCTTTTCTAGTTCATCTTTTTTATCTACCTTCTTTTCAGGTTTTTCTTCCTTATCGAGGTTCCTTTTCGGTTCATCTTTTTTATCAAGGATCCTTTCAGGTTCTTCTTTCTTATCAAGAATCCTTTCAGGTTCTTCTTTCTTATCAATGATTTTTTCCGGTTCATCTTTTTTGTCGGGTTTCTTTTCCGGTTCTTCCTTCTTATCAAGGGTCTTTTCCGGTTCTTCTTTTTCATCGAAGAATTTTTCTGGTTCACCTTTTTTATCAAGGATCTTTTCAGGTTCTTCTTTCTTATCAATGATTCTTTCCGGTTCATCTTGATTATCGTGGATCCTTTCCGGTTCATCTTTTTTATCGATCTTCTTTTCCGGTTTTTCTTTCTTATCAAGGATCCTTTCCGGTTCATCTTTTTTGTCCTGTACATACTCTTCGTTGATTTCATAAACCACTTTTTTAGAAATTGTGACGTAGTCAGAGTCCGAATCTTCTGGTGTTTTCATATCTCGTACGAAAATTGAAGTTTCCTCTAATTTTTCTTTATATGTTTCTTTTTGAAGTTTATCCGGTTTGGTGTCTTCACCTTCATCATCATCATCTTTATAGTCTTTATCCGATTCGGGACGTTTTCCGGAAGTGAGAGCTCCTTTTACACCGTAATATAACCTTGAGAAGAAACCGGGTGAATCACCTCCTTGATCCGAAGGACTTTCTTCTTTTTTATCATGAGTAACATCTGGAGTTTTAATTATTTCCTCGTCTGATAACGTTATCTTGTAGGAATAATCTTCAAATTCTGGAGTTTTCATGTCTGGAATTTTTTCTTTTTCGCTTTCTTCGGGTTTTTTCCCGTCGGAAACAGGAGGACTTTTTTCTACTTCCTTATCACTAGGTTTTTCACCGTCTTCATCTTTTTCCTCGGGTTTTCCGCGTTTTTCTTCGGGTTTTTCTGTTTTTTTGTCCGACACGTCTTTTATTTCTTCTTCTTCTTCTTCGTCGCTTTCCAAAATTGCCGTAGCGTCATCATATTTTTCAAAAGATAAAGATTTTATACTCTCTAACCTTTTTTGAAGTTCTTTTTCGGTCGGTGTGTCAATTGTGGATTCTTTTGGCTTGTCAATTTTCTTTATTTTATCAGTTTCCGGTTCATCTTTACCGGACTCAATTTTTTCAATTTTTCTTAGATTTTGTAAACGTTCATCAATCTCATCCGTGATGGGTGATGATTTTTCGTCGGGAGTTTTTCCTCTGACGGTTGTTTTATCAGGTTTGTCGACTTTTGAAATTTTTTCTGCTTTCTCATCCATTTTCTCTTGTTTCGAGGGTACTTCCGGAAAGTGAATGTGTATTTTTTCAATTTTCCTCACAATTTCCTTTCCTTCATCGTCTCTTTCTGTAATTATTGTCTTCGACTCGATCGATTCGGTGGATTCTTTTCTTTTTTCCAAAACATCATCCCTGACTAAATCTTCCGTCGGTGATTTATCTTTTCGTACATCTTTTTCCACGGTAAATTTCTTTGCCTCATCATCGCCATCGATGATAACTTCTTTGACGACGTATTTTTTTATTATTTGTTCGGTTGTTTTTTCGGTCACGATTTCTTTCGACATCTTTGGGGATTCATCAATTTTTTCTTCGATTTCCTTTTCCGGTTGCCGTTGATGTTTTTCTAATATTTCCTCCGTAAATTTTTCCTTTTCATCATCAATTATTTTTTCGAATTTGCTATCTTCCGCCGGTGGTTCTTTTATAATTTTTAATTTTTCCGAATCAAATTCTTCTCTCGCAAGTTTTTCTTCGGTGTCGTCATCACCTTTTTCCATTTTCGTATTTTCTAAAAATTCTTTAAGAGGTTTTAAAATCTCAACGATTTCCTTCAACTTGTCCGATAGTCCTTGATCCATTTTAAGCGAATCTTCCGTTTCCGTTCTTTCATCATCATCATCGTCATCCTCCGTTGTAGATTTTTTCATTTCCTCTGATTTCTCTGGAGAAAGTTGTTCCTCGACCGAATTTAATATTTCTTTTAAATTTAACAATTCTGACATGACGCCTTTTAATTTATCATCCATTTTTTCCGCTACGTTTATATCCGGTTGTTCTTCAACGGTTTTTTCCGGTTGTTCTTTAACGGTTTTTTCCGGTTGTTCCTTAACGGTTTTTTCCATCGTTTCAAAAGATTCGAGAGAATCAAATGGTATTTCTTTACCCTGTCCTTTGTAAAGGGTTTCTCTTAAATTTTTTAACTTGATTAAAACTTGTTCCAGTTTGTCTGGAACGTTTCCAGTCAACGGTAACGATTTTCGTCGTTCTTCTTCTACCTTTTCTTCATCGTCGGGAATTATTTTTTCGGTGACGTCACTACCAGAAGATAATAATTTTTTAAGAGGAATCATAGCTTCCATAACTTCACCTAATTTCAATTCGATAGTTTTATTAAATTCCGTCATTTCTTGTCTGGAATCATCTTTTCCTTCGTCTTCTCCAGGAATTTCATCTCGGGGAGGTTTAATCTTGACGTCATCTTCTTTTTCTTTTTCCTTCGTGAATTCATCATCAGATTTGAATTCTTTTCTCTCTTCCAGTATGAATTTGGTCGTGTCTTGAATTGTTTTTTCAAATTTCGTATCATCGTCGTCGTCCTCCGTTTCGGTGACTTTTGTTTTTCCAGGAGTGATAGCACCTTTCACTCCTTGGTAAAGTCTGGATAAAAATCCCGGCTTTGTTGAGGGTTCTTTATCATCATCATCCTCTGGTTTTTCTTTTGTCTTCTTCTCATCATCTTCGTCTTCGATGCTTTCTTTCGTCGTATCCGTCTCTTTATATTCAATCACTTTTATTTCTTTCAAATATTTTTTCTCATCTTCTTTTTCTTCCTTTAATTTTTTCTCCAGCTTTAGTTTTTCCAATACTCGATCGGGTCTCATCATCTTGCCTTTTTCTTCCATTTCTGACTCATCTTCTTTTTCAGGTTTCAAACTTTCAAACTCCCGAGATTTCTTTTCCGCTTTGACATCTGCGATTTTTTTCCTTTCGACTTTTACTTCTTCGATGTCTGTCGTTATCACCTTTGATTCCATGGACGGACTCGTTACGTTGTCAATAATGTCAGTCTCCTCATCATTCTCGTTTGTTATTAAGGCATGTTTTCTATCCCTAACATCATCAGTCTTTTTAATTGTCACATCAGTCTCACTAACAGACGGAAAATCAACTTTTTCTCTTGTTTCAGTCTTTTTTAATTTATCAACATTTTCATCGGGTAAGGAGGAATGTCTATCATCAGTCTTGTCGTTATCAATGATATTTACAGTCTCTTCGATTTTATCATTTTCCGTCGGCGACGGTGATGATTTTTCACGTTCGATAAATTCACGAGTTATTTTAATTTTCGATTCTTCGTTTTTCATTTCCGAATCTTCTGTTTCGGGTTTGTCGGACAATTCGACTTTGAATTGAGTACGCGTCGTCATCATCATTGTTGTTTCCGTTTCCGGTATGAAATCTTTTGATACCGTTTCGATTTTCGGCATTTTTCGTTTCCGTGATTTTTCATCGCCGTCGTCGGTTGGTAAAATTTGATCTTTTATCGTTTCGATAACTTTTTCGTCTTCCACTTCCGGTGGAGATTCACGAGGAGTCGGTTTTTTATCGCCATCTTTTTCTTTCGGAGGAAATATATCCAAATCTCCTGGTTTAATTATGACCATTTTTTTCAAATTTTCTTCTTTTATTTCGTATTTGTAATTTTCCATTTCGGATTCGTCGTGTATTATGACGGTTTCGAGTTTTTTAACGAGATCATCGTCGGTCGATTTTAAAGGTTGACTTCCGGTTTCCGACGTGTAATTATCATCTGATTTTTTCATAATTATTTCGATTCCATCTTTTACCGGTGTCGGTTGTACGTCGGGGGATAAAATGTTTGTGGGGAAAATATCAATTTCTCCGGGTTTTTTAATTTTGATTTTGTCGGTAATTTCATCGATTTCTTTTTTACTGTCGTCGTCTTTGTCGTCTTTGTCTGTCAGGATTACGATTTCTTTGGTTGACTTATCTGGTTTTAGGGTAGTGTCGACGTCATCGTCATCGTCAAAAATATCAACGGCTTTTTTAAGTATTTTAGGCGCTGTTAAACTTTCTTTTACTTTAACAACGGAAATGACTTCGTCGGTTATCGGCTCTTTTTCATCATCAATTTTTTCATCTTTTATCAAAATCGTTTTTAATTTTAACGGACTTTCATCTATTTTTTCAATTTCAACGCGTTTTATTTCAATATCTTTTTCTTGTACGGTTTCGTCGTCGTCGTCGTCGTCGAATTTTCTAGAAGATTTTATTTCTTTTTCAAAAGTTTTTCTCGTACGTTTGATTTCGTCACTTTCGGGTGAACTTTTATCCGTTGAATCCGCATCTTCCGTTTCCGATTCTTTTTGTTTTAATTTTACAACGTATTTATAATCGATTTCACTTATTTCCGGTTTTCTTACTTCTTCGTCGGAATCTGATTTTGTTTCACGTACGTCGAGTTTCACGATATATTTCGATTCTTTAATTTTTTCAACATCTTCTTCTTCTTTTTCTTCTTTTTTAACGACAGTTTCTTTTTCTTCATCTTCTTTTTCGTCCGATTGTGTTTCATCGATTGATTTTCTATCTTTTATTTTAATGACGTATTGATATTCGGGAGATTCGAGGTCTTCGGATGGTTTTAAAATAACTTTGAATTTGTTTTTACGATCTTCTTCGGACAAACTTTCATCATCAATTTTTTCTTTTTTTTCTTCTTCTTCTTCTTCTTTCTCTTTTGTCACGTGATCAATTTTATGATCGACCGTTTTTATTTTTTCATCGTCGGATTCTTGTTTGTCTTTTATTTCCAAATCATAGGGTTCCTTTTCGTCATCGTCACCATCCTGAGATGCTTTGCTGTCGATTCGTACGACGTATTTTAAGAGAGGAGGTTTTTCTGGGCTTACGTCTTCGTCCTTCGAAGGAATTTCCGTTTCTAATTTAACAACGGTGTATTTAATTTCCGGTACTGGTTCGTCCGGTGACGATTCCTCGAACGATATAACTTTAATTGTTCTCGATTGCAGGGATATTTGTTCTTCCGGTGATTCGACGAGAGTTTTTCCTTCCTGAATCGTTTGAGTTTCTTTTTTAATAACGGTTATTATCGTTTCCGTTTCATGTTCTCGTGACACGGTTTCTTCTTCTAAAAATTTTTTCACAATGTTTTTAACATCTTTTTTAGCATCGTCGATGGTTGTTGTTGTTGTCTTTGATTTTTCGGATGTCAAAACATGTTCGGTCGATATTTTTTCTTCTTGTAATAATATTTCCGTTGCCGTCTTATCATCTTTCGGTTCTTCATCATCATCCGTCTTTGGTACAAATCGATCCGTTATTTGCGCGTATATATTCATTTTACTTAATTCTTCTACTTTTTCCGCTAATTTTTCATGTTCGCTTTTGTCTTCGACGTCGTAATCTAATTTTTCATCGCTGAGACTTTCCTCGTTTATCGGTGTCAATATAGGAACGTAATCATCTTCGGAAACTTCTTCTTCCGTTTCAGCATCCGGATTGTCTTCAATTTTAATAACTACAATGCTCGATTTTTTCTTTTCGGGCACGTCGAAAATTTCATCTTCTACGTGTGATTCTGGCAATGATGTTTTTTCTAATGTCACGTCCTTTTCGTCTTCGTCTTTTTCCGAATCTTCATCCTGCTTTTCTTTTCCCACTAAATCTTTCCTGTCTTTTTCAACACCGTCCGGTTTTTCTCCGTCGATTTCTTTTATCTTTGTTTCGGGCATAAGTTCTTTTTTTGTTTCTTTGTCCTTCATTTCGTCATCTTTTGTCTCTTTTCCAGTTTTTGTATCGGGTAATTCTGGCGAATCTTTTTTTCCTTCCAACTCTTCATGAATTTTCGGTTCGTCTTTTGTAATTTCAGGTTCGGTGAGTTTCGTAAATTCTTCTTGTTCACGGCTCACCACGGAGGAATCTAAAATTTTTATCGGTTTTTCAACTTGTCTCGATTCATCGTCATCTTTGTCGACGGCTGAAGGAAGTTGTTCGGTTTTTTGACTTTTTCCATTTGTTTCTTCAACGATTTTTTCCAAAGCTTCGACGTATTGCATCGTTTCGGGAGATGCAAACAATCTGTCGGTACCTTCCGGCGTAGGAGTTAAATCCGGTTTTAATTGTTTGACGTCTTGTTTTATTTGTCTCGTAGCATCTTGAATTTCGGTTATCAATTCTTCGACGTACGTGGCTGCCAAATCGTCTTTTAATTTTAATTCTTTTTTAGTTTTATGTTTATCAATGTTATCGTCGTCGGTGTAGGGAGGAGAAATAACTTTTAACGGTTCTTCTGATTTTCGAATCGTTTGTTCAACGATTTTCAATGTAGTTGTCGTCGGTTTTACGTCATCGAATTTTTCCCTTCTATCCGTCATTTTAATTTCTTTGATTTTTATTTTATCATCTTTTTCTTCTTCTTTAATTTCAATCGTTTTCTTTTCTTTTTTTATTTTAACTTCATCGATTTCTTCTTTTGGTTTTTCTTTTTTACCGATTTCTTTGTCTTCCTCTTCTTCTTCTTTTACTGCATCCTTGTCTCTTTCAATAATTTTTGATGTTATAACTCCATCGTGTGTTGTATCGAATTCTTTCTTAGTAATTATCGTTTTCGTTTTAGCATCCCTAGTCGTTTCATCGACAATTTTTTTACGAGTTTCTAAAACTTCCGTTAGTTTCTTTTCGACTATGGCACTTTTCACCGTTACCGATTCAAATTGTTCCCTTTCGAATTTCGTTTTTGGTTTTCCATCATCTTTTTGAGTGGCTATACGTTTTTCGATTGTTTCAATGAATTCAGATATTTTCGGATATTGTTGAACTTCCATTTCCGCACCTATAATCGAACTTATGTCCGATTTTTCCGGTTTACCACCGTCGGTTGTTTTAAAATCATCTTTTGAAAAGTCATCCTCCAAATCGCTTTCTCCGGATTGCGTGAATATTTTTTGTAATTCTTTTATTTTCGGTCCTATTTGTTTGGCCGTATGCGTCGGTGTTGATTTTCCGTGTTTAGGAGTTGTCGATGTTACTGTTGTTGCTGTTGTTGTTGTTGATGATGTAGTCGTTGTTGTCGTTACGTCTTCATCAACTGAAAATGTTTTCACAACTTCAACAACTGTTTTTTTCGGATGTTTCGTTTTATCCGATTTTTCATCGATTAAATCATCGTCGGTTAAATCTTTCACGTGTTTTTTGCTGCACGTTTCGCTGACTTCTTCTCCCGAACATAAATAAACAATTCCTGTTTTCTTCGAATCTTTGTCAGATGCTATTTCCTGTTTTTCTTCTAAAAGTCGAACCAATGCTTTGACATCCGAACCTCTAGGAGAGGTCACATCGGGAGGAGTTTGTTTCTTATCGTCGAAATGTTTTTCACTTATTATTCTAGTGGAAGTTATGGTTTCTTTGACTTCTTTTCCTGTCGGAATCGTTTTGGTCGTTTGCAATTCATAAAATTTTTCCTTGATGTTTATAAATTCATCTTTTACTGGGCTGATACTCGCATCTATTTTAAAAACGGATTCGGTTTCGACTCCGGTTTCCGATGTTTCTAACGGTAGAGGACTTGTAGCAACGCTTGTGGAATCAATTGCGGCGGAAACATCGATCGGACTGCTCGCGGTATCTTGGAATTGAGTGTCTTCGTAAGTTGGCTCGGTGTAAAGTTGATTGACTTCATCGGCTAATATTGGACTCAAACCCGCATCCGTCAATTCCAATTCTTCTGCTTCGCCATCGAAAGCCGTATCGGTGCACGGTTTTGTGGGAAGTTCTTTTTCTTCGGGTTTGTGTGTGGAGCTTTCGGTTATCGTTCCTCTCGTTAAACTTATGCCCGTATCCGTTACGTAATGCGATGCGCTTTCTTCCGTCATTGGCGAATCGCAGACCGAGCTCGCCGTGCTTCCGCGAGTGTCGTAATGGTAAACGCTTCGTTTCGTACTAAATATGACCGTGTCTTCTTTCTTTTTGTCGAATTTTTGTTCTTCCGGCGGTATTATATACGCGTCAAATGTTTTTTTCGCAGTTTTATCAAACGCTTTTTTAGGAGATTTAATCGTCGAAGTTATTCCAACGTCGACTTTATTCGAAGTTTCCTTTCCGGAATCGTCACGAGTTATCAGCGTCATGTGACTCTGTGACGTTATCGATATATCTAAATCTTTATCACCGTAAACGGTCAATCGACTTTCCGTCGTTGCTTTTCCATTTTCCGTCGTGATTTCTTTTTTCCCAATCACCATCTCGACCGTTGGTTTATCCTGAGGAGGTTCCTTGTACGTATCCAAACTTGTTTTCACATATCCAACACTACCATCGTCGGGTGTTTTATCCGAGATTTTCCGTACCTTTTCCATCGTTTTTTCCTTATTATCATCAACTTCTTTCTTATCTTTTTCCACGTCGCTTTTTATCAACGTTTCGTAAACGATTTTAACGTTTTCCGAATGTTTCGAATCCTTGACTCCTTTTTCCTCTTCGGGTGAAATAATTTTTGAAAATTTCAATTCGTCCGGTTCATCGATCCGTTCGTGTTGTTTAACAATCGTTATTTTTTCTTCTTTTACATCCTCATCATCCTTACCGAGAAAATCTTCTACGTCGCTTCCGTCATCCGAAGCGATTTGTGACCTTGTAGAATCTTGAGAATCGTCCTCTTGTAAATATTTCGAATGTTTACTCGGATCGAGTTCGGAAAAGCTTTCCTCACCTTCGTAATATTTCCGTCTCGCCTTTTTATCGATATCGTCCATGTTCGATATATCATCATCATTATCGTAATCATCATAATCCTGTGGTTTGAAAAATGTTTTTTCAAATTTTTTCGTTAAAGTCGTTTCGTGGATTGTCGTCGTCGTCGTCGTCGTCGTCGGAGTTTTAACTTTTGAACTTTCCAACATTTCATCATCAAACGTCGGGAATAATCTTTTTTTCGATAAAAAATTTGTCGTTTCTTTTCCATATAATTGTTGTTGTTGTTCCTTCCTGGGGTTGGACCCAGTTTTTAGTTTTTCATTTACTAATCGAATGCTGCTGTGGGGTGATTTGAGCGTGTCCAACAACGGCATCTCATTAAATTCATCCGAATCCAACAAATCTTTGTCGGCTTTTGTTAAAATGAAAAAGAAAAAAAAGAAGAAAAAAAAAATCCAAGCGGGGGCGTGAAAAAACAAACAACAGAACATAAATTTTTTCCAAAAAAAAAAAAAAAAATTAAAATTAAAATTAAAAAAAAAAAAAAAATATATAAAAAAAAAAAAAAAATCCAATCACAAAATACGACGTGAAACTTGATCGATGTTTATACACAATAAAAAAATCATCATTATCTTTTCTTTCTTTTTTTTTTCTTATTCGTATTTTAAAAAAAAAAAAAAAAAAACAAAAAAAAAAAAACAAAAAATCAATCAATCAATCAATTTTGAACGATTTTTAACGATGAATCGAGCCATGATTATATATATATATATATATATATATATTGCACGTGCATTTAAATACGTGAAATCAATCAATAATAATAATAATAATAACAATAATAATAATAATAATGAATATTTTTAAGTATGATATCTCTATAGTATGATGTCGATTTTTTTTTTTTTTTTTTTCTAATGAGTCAAATACGTGTGTAATTGAAAAAAAAAGTGTATAGGAAAATGGCGGCGTGTCGTGGTGGTAGTGGTAGCCGTATGTATGTATGTATGGATATGTACGTTCGTCATACGTCATCAATTTAAATGTTTGGAACGTTCGCATGGGTCGTACACAAAAGGGATCGTTTTTTTTTTTTTTTTTATTACGTTCGATAACACAACCATTTTTTTTTTCTTTTTAAATTAATCAAAAGATAAAAAAAAAAAAAAAAATCAATCAAAATTTAAAAAAAAGTAACACTCAGTAATTCAATACTGTCTTTTAAAACTTACTAACCTTGATTAATTGATGATCGGTCGATTGTCTGCTAAAGCCACGTTTGTTTATTTATTTATTTAATTAATTAATTAATTAATTAATAAATGATCATAAGAATTTTTTTTTAAATAGAGAGTAATAGCACAGGCTTTATTAAAATTAAATCGAAATTTTTCAACTCATATAAATAATTTTTGAAAAAACCGTTTAAGAGGTCATTTTACGTCACCCGCACTACACATAAATAAATTCTTATGATCACGTGATTTTTTGTGACTAACTTTGTTGTTGTTATTATTAATATTAATAGTACGTACGAACGCGAAAAATATTATTATTATTAATTTAAACAACGATTATCGATCGTTTCGAAATAAAAACCAAAAAAAAAAAACAAAACAAAATAAATCAATAAAAAAAATACATCATGCGTTTTTTTTTTTTTTTAAGTAGTATTATTTCATTGTCGAAATGATTAATTTTTAATAATAATAATAATAATAATAATTGAAATATTGATTTGCAGTATAAACCGTATGAGTCAATCAATGAAATACACGTGAATTGTAATAATAATAATAATAATAATAATAATAAAATCATTACTATTGATAATTGTGAAAAAAAGTAATAAATTTTTTTTTTTTTTCGATTGATAATAATAATAATAATAATAATAACTTTGATAACGTTCATTTTTTTCTTTTTTTAAACATTTCTTTCATTCGAAAAAAAAAAAAAAAATTAAATTAAATAAATTAAAAAATAAATAATTAAATAAAAAGAAAGAAAAATTAAATAAAATGAAACTTCTTACGCGTGCGGACTCAATAATAATCAAATCGATTCTTTAATTATTATCATTATTATTATTATTATTATTATTATTATATTCACGTCGCGTTTTATTTTATTTTACGCCGCGTAATAATTTTCCTAAATAAATAATAATAATAATAATAAAAAAATGAAACGTGTTTATACGTGTTCATACGAATAAATATATATCAAAAGCATTGCAAGCGTAAATAGAAATTATTATCATCATTATCATAGAACCAAACAATTAGAAATAATAATAATATTAATAATAATAATAATAGCTAAAGAAAACGAGACGTTATATTCGCGATTATTTTGTAAACGATATATATATGTATATTTACACGATTTATTATCCGCTTTCTAGAAGTTTCACATCATTTAGAGAAAAAAAAAAAAAATGAATATATATATATATGAAAATATTCATGAAAAACAAAAAAAAATTGTTAATAATATAAATAAATAAATAAATAAATATATAAATGTTAATAATAACAACTAAAATTAATTAATTAATAATTAAACAACACACATCGATCAAATTTCACAAACAAATAAATAAATTAATTAATAAATAATAATAAAAAAAAAGGATTTTATTATTATATTTTTAACGTATTAATTTATATATATATATATATTTATATTGTAATTATTGCGTTTCACTACAAAGCCAAACAAACAATTGTGTCGTCCTCGACGGAAATTCCTACTCTTCCATTCATTATTTGTAATAAAACTACTACTACTACTACTACTAATACTACTGAGCATATTATTTATTTAATTTATGTTAAAAAATATCATTACACCCCACTCTCTCTCTCTCTCTCTCTCTCTCTCTCTTTTCCCCCTCCCTCCCGCATTTCTTTCCACCCACTTAATATTAACCAAATCTATGAGATAATAAGAGCAAAGCCCCACAAAAAGTTATGACGTCACGATTCAAATTTTCCCTTTTTTTCCCTTTAATTCAAACGAGACAAAAAAAAAAATAACCGACGATGAACAATTGAATGTTTGGCTTTTTTTTACTCAAAACAAAAAAGAAATAATAATAATAATAATAATAGGAATGCAAATCAAATTACTCGTTTTGTACTGTATAAAAATCAAAAGGTTAATGAAAGAAAACCCTTCTCTCTCTCACTCTCTCTTTCTCTTTCTTTTAACAAAATAATAATAATAATTAAAACAACGGCAAAAAAACAAGTTACGAAAAATATTATTATTGTTATTAATTTTTTTTTTTTTTTGTTTTTTTTTCCGTTAATAATAATAATAATAATAATAATAATAATAATAATAATAATAATAATAATAATAATAATCATGCTCATTACGTTATTTTGATTTGCACTCGTTAGTATCACATGCTTCCTCATATTAAAAATATATATATATATATATGTTTGTATAAATATAATAATAAAATTATTTAAGTAATAATAATAATAATAATAATAATAATCGAGGCAAATTATTTTATTTTATATTGTATTTATATTACGTTTTTTCTTCTGCTACAAATAATTATTTAAAATTTGCCTTGATATTATTATTAAATATCGATTTTTTTTTTTTTTTTTTTTTTTTTTTACAATTTACAAATAATAATAAACGCTTTGCCCTAAAAAAAATAAAATAAAATAAACTGCAAATCAATATTATTATTATTATGATTATATATAAATATATATATATATACACGTACGCACAATCAAACGCAATGCGTGTGTGTATGTGTGCGTGAGTGCGTGCGTGTGCGTATATATACATATATATATATATAAGTAAAAATTCAAAAACGCTATATGATAAAGTGCGTATATGACGATAACGTTGTTGAATTTTAAAGCGAGGCGAATAATTTTGTATGTGAATGTATTGCTATGACGTCATGCAAATAACTACGATACGCGCGGTGATAAGGATAAGATTAATATTATTATTATTAGTATATAAATATATAAATATTTTCTTACCTTCTGGAGATAATATATGTTCGGTTGTGCGTGATTGAGACCATGCGATCGTTGTGGTTTGCGGTGCTGGAAATTTAAAACGGAAAAAAAAAATTATTATTATTATTATTATTATTACGCTGCGGATGGAATTTTTTAAATAAAAGAAAAAATTCGGGGGGGTGGAATTTTTTTTTATTTTAAATAATTACCTTTTACAGAAAAGTCTGCTGGACTTGGTGGCGGTGTTTTTGAAGCTTTTGGCGATATTAACTCTGTAAAAAAAAAAAAAAAAAAGAAAATGAGTGAGGGGTGAGAGAGTAAATTTTCCTATCGTGTGAACATAGGGGATGTAATAATTTTTTTTTTGTTTTTTTTTTTTAAGGGATGACGTACCTTTTTCAACATCAATTTTTTGCCCGATTTTTCCAAGGCCTTCGCTCACGTTTTTAAAAAGTTGTTGAGAATCTCTTTTGATTCTTTCGTCTCCGAGTTGTTTGTGGTCCATGACTTCTCCCACGGGTTCTTCTGCTAATTCTTTTCTAGCCATTTCTCCCAATAGTTTTTCTTCGCGGTTGATTATATCTTTAACTTTTTCATCTCCCGTTTTTTTATATTCTTTTTCGTACGGGATTTTTTCCTTTTCCTTTTCCGTTTCCATTTCTTTTTTGTTATCCGTTTTCGGTGGCGACGTTCTACCGTATGTTGATTTTTCTTTGTCTTGAAATTTTGATATTTTTTCCTTGACCGATATTTGTTTCTCTATCGGTTCCTCTTCGTGTTTGTCCAATTTTGACACGTATTGTATTTCATTTTGAATGAAATCTTTTGTCGTCGTTGTCGTAGTCGTGTATATCGTTTGCGCTGGTTTTGGTATTTTGACTTCTCCGGGAGTTACACCCATTTTAATGTTGTCGAATATTTCCTAAAATTACCCCCCGAAAAAAAATAAATAACTAAATTTTTATCGTCTTAGCTTATTTACCTTGCGCGACATCAAACTTTTCACAAACCTGAGATAATCTTTTTTCAATTTCCTGCTTTCTTTCTTTAACCGTTTTCTTCTCCTCTTCTTCTTCTCCTTCTTCCTCTTCTTGTATTTCTTTTTCTTCTGCCATGTATTTTTTTTCATCTCTTTCGTGATGTGCTTTTGTTTTTTTACCATCGTCCGCTTGTACGAGATCTTCAACGGATTCCGATACTTTCATTATGTCTTTTTCATCACCGAGATGAATGATTTGACTTCCCAATTCTTCCTTTTGACTCGGTGATTTTGATTTTTGTTTGTCCGTGAGATTACATTGCTCCGATACGTCGTCACGATTTATTCGATGCAATGCTTTTTCCAATGATTTCTCTGTAATTTTTTTAAAAATAAATAATCATTTAACGAATTAAAAAAAATATTTTAAATTCTTATGTAAACGCGAGATTTCACTCACTTGATGCTTTGTTTCCTTGCTGATACAACCAAAGCCTTAACATGGCTCTGGCTTGTTGTGCAACGTTTGCAGGATTTTCGGTTTTTATTAGCGTCACGTCCGAATCGTCAATGTTTAAATGCGATGCGAGTACTATCCAATCATACCCCAATAGATTGGATACGTCCGACAATCGCAAGTCGCTTCTTTGTGCTTCTATTCCACCTTTAAGAGAGAGAGAAAAAAAAATGGATTCAGTACCAGAAAAATAAAACGATTAAAAAATCAAATGATTATAACTCACCGTTTTTCATGGCGGATATTTTCTTCTGTAAGGCTATTAAATCAGGTTCAGAAAGTGATAAATCAGGCATTATAGTTTCTGGTAAAACAATATTAAGACAACACGTCGGCTGTTGTGGCGGATCACCCTTGCTTGCCTGATAATAAAACAATTACAATTTATCATCATCATCATCATCATTATTATTTTTACGTAAAAATTAATCGTGTTTCTACTCACTTTGGCTTCTCTCATAAATAAAAGTCGGCCAATTGAATCAACAAGTGGATCTTTTACTCTAACAGTGAAAGGCAAACGATTTTCTCTAAAGGCTTTAAAACCTATTTGTAATTGGTCTCCGGATTTCGTAACGGGCACTAAATTTCCGGCAAATTCAACATATTGAGGCTTTCCTTCGAGCACCTGCGTTAAAAATCATCAAAATCCGTATATGTGCTGTCATTCTTGCGACAAAGTCGCATATCATAAACACCGGAAATTAAAAAAAAAAATAATGATGATAAACTCACTTCGACGTCTCTACTTTTGGCTACTTCTGTGAAATTTTCCTGATGTTCCAAAGTTTTATCTTCTTTGTCGTCAGTCATACAAAACACTCTAAGTCTCGCTTCCATCGTATCCACTCTTTTGGCAAACACAACGAACCTATTTAAAAAAAAAAAAAAACAAATTTTGTTTTCCCGTCGGTCTACTTTTTTTTACCGTTTCGTTTAATGCGAGTTTGTTATACTCACTTAGACATAAAAGGAACGTGTATAGCTTCTCTATACAGTTCGGTTGCCATTTTTGTCGCTTCACCCACATTTCGACAATCCATGAGCCAAAATCTGGCCGATACGGTTGTGGTAAATGAAACGCAATCGTTAACAAACGTCAGAGGCGTCGAACCGGTTACATCTTCCCATTGAGCTCGAGACGTACCTCCTATGAAACAATATTCATTTTTTAAAATGACGACAAACAAAAAAATAATAGGTCAAAGGTCATCATCATCATACGCATCATTATTTAATAAAATTTTTAATCGTAAAAGTGACTTTAAAAAAAAAAAAAAAGGCAATTTTTTATTTTTTAAAAAAAAAAAAAATTATCCACTGATATAATAATATCGAACAAACATCAAACCAAGCGAAATTATTATTACAAAAAAACTTTTCGTACGATTACGTCATAATAAATTAAATGACGTCATTTATAACCGTTATAATAATAATAATAACATTTCCAATTTATAAATATATATATAATTTCGCTCGTTCGCAAAAAAAAAAAAAAAAAAAAAAAACAATTTATTTATTTATTTCTTTTTTTTTTTGCAGACGTTTTAACCCAATCAATCAATCAATCAGCGAAAACTAAATAAATAAATTTATTTAATTGAAAAAAAATAATAAAAGCCAAGCAATTACGACGTGAAATAAATTTTTTTTTATCATCATCATTACTATTTAATTATTTATTGATTTTATTAAAAAATAAAAAAAAATGGTTACGACAAAACAATCACCAACAAAAAAATTTATATTAAAAAAAAAAAATTAAAATTGAATGTCATGCGGCATTCAATTCATTCACAAGTGTCAGAGAAAGAAAAAAAATAAGAAAAAGAAAGAGAGAGAGAGAGAGAGAGAGAAATAACTACAAATCATATCACTACAATCAAATCAATATTTTATGTTTGTTGGTGATTGTTTTTGTTTAATAAAAAACATACATACAAACATACATATATATAAATATATTTAAGTATGTAAAAGCCAATGCAATGAAAATATGCATAATCAAATAAAATATAATATATATATATCTACATATATATATGCATATAAAATAAAATAAACAGAAAAAAAATTTAATAATATCTGTGCCTTTTTTTTTTTTTTTTTTTTTTCAAAATAAAAAAATAATTCATACTCAAAAGCAGATTTGTTTCAGAAAAGACCCATATTATTACAGTATTAAAAAAATAAATATATATATATATATATAAATATATATATTAAAAATTTACAGTTTGATTTGCTGTCAAACGATTATTATTATTATTATTTTTTTTTTCCCGTTTCGATTAAACGCAAATCGAAAACTGTAAATTTATTTTTTATTTAATTTTTGTTATTACGTTCGTTTCCTCAGTATGAACAATTCGTGGGTTGTTTGTTTGTTTGTTTGTTTAAAACTTAACTAGAACAAACGCGTGAAAGTAAAATAGAAGTTAGAGAAAGTTTTGACAAAGTTCGGATGTTGTGTCGTCGTCACAAGTGCTACTAAAGGAGTTTTGTTAAAAAAAAAAAAAAAAAAAATTAATTAAATAAACGTCATCAATAATCGATTCGATATTGTTTACGGTTAAATAAAACATGGCGGCCTTTTTAAAATAATTTTTCTTTGAAATAGTGTAAAAGTTGCACTAATTACGTCACTGATCTCTTAAATAAAAACGTTTTCCACATTTTCTATACCGGAAGTGCACCGAATTCTTTACGAAGGTTTTTTTGTCAACACAGGAGAAATGAGTTTCGCACTAACCTCCCCCCCCCCCGGTAGCAAAGAGAGTGTGGGACTCAGCCGAAACCACTACCCAACTAAAACTCCTGGACGTGTTTCACCGTGCTCTTTTTCCTAAAGAGAAACCTCTAAACCCCCTCCTGAGTCAGAACTATCAGGTCCACACCCGAGGAAGATCCCGGTACTTCCCCTTTTTACCCTTCGAAAGACAGTCCCGATTTGTTAACATAGTCCCTGCCTTTTCCAGAGAGTCTGCGAGAGAGAGAGAGAGAGATCGCGAATCCCATTAATCTATCACCTGTCTCCCTTTCACATTACAGCCCCGCATTTTCCCCGTGCGTTACAAAATCTTTAACCGTAAAATAACTTAAACCTTATTTTAAGGTTTTCCCCCCTCCCCCCGCAAAGAAATCCCCTCGAAAAATCTATAAAACAAAGCGTGTAAATTTACAATAAAAATTAATAATTATTATACTGAGGAAACGTTTCACATCATATTCGTGTGATATTTAAAAAAAAAAAAAAACAAATTTTTTTTTTTACATAAATATATATATGTGTATATATATATATACTCTAAAAAAAAATTGCCGTAATAATATAAAAAATAATAATAATAATATATATATATATTTTGTGAATATAAAAAAAAAAAAAAAAAATTAATGAAACGAACGTTCTTTTACTCCGTTTACGTTTGGCGCGAGTACGCGCTTTAAAAAAAAATGTGACGAAAGATCGATCTGGGATAGAATAAAAAAAAAGGAAGGAAGGATGATAAAGGCAGGAAGTAGAAGTGAGAGTGAGAGAGAGAGAAAGTGTGTGTGTGTGTGTGTGTGTGTGTTCGTGTGTGTATTAATGGAGTAAAAGAATGTAAGTCTCGCATAAATATATATATATTGTTTATTTTACTTATTGCAAAATAAATGGAAGAAGAATGGATTTTAGTACCTTTGAGTGATCTTTTCCGAAACACACCTGCAAGCCAGCCAAAGAGAACACAATAGTACATTGCATTAGTAAACATCTAATCGGATCCCGAGGGGAAACTATAGAGGAAAATAAGTAACGGATGATAACCGTGACGGAGAACGACAGGAGAGGAGGAAAAAAGAAAAGGTTGATGTGGGTGGTGATGGTGGTCGCGGTAATGGGAAGGCAGGAAGTAGTAGCGGTGATTGTGGTAACGATGTACAAGAAGGAAGGAAGAGGAGGGGGAGGGGGGGAGGAAAAAGGGAGGTGTATCGTCTTGATATAAAAGAAATAAATGAAAATATTGATTCAGTTTAATTTCAATCGTCGATCGTCTATGACGGCTTTTTCTTTTTCTTTTTTTCTATCGAAATTTTCCGTTAAAAAACTGTGTGGAGTTTCTGTCATTAGTCAGTTTACGTAGAAACCAAGAAAGAGAAAGAGAGAGAGAGAGAGAAAGGGTGCCGGAAAATCCAAGTTGTTATTTTTTGTCATGGTAACATACGGAAGAAGTTTTTCTGTCGGTTTTTGTAAAAATTTCGTGGCCTGCAGAAGAAGGATTAAATTGAAACGAAATAATTCGCGACAGGTTTTTTCTTAACAAGGTATTTATGACGTCATTTCGAAGATTTTCACGGACGGAGAGGGAGGGGTAACGGAGGGGGAGCGAAGTGGGAGTGAGTGAGGGGGGAGCGACATATGTGTAAGTATGTACAAACCTCGTGATGCACGTTCAGAAATGTTTAACAGTTTTTTTTTTCAGGTTTTAAGAAAGGAATAAAATAAAAGTAAAAATAAAATAAATAAATAAAAAAAAATAGAGTGAAACTTACCCGTTATAGAACATAATAATCTGAGTGTGGGAGCATCACTCGAATAATTATTTATCATTCCTTTGTTGGCAGCTCTAGGCACGGGTATCGTTAATGTTATAGGTTTGTGAAATTTTCTTCTACGTGGTTCGACCGTTACAATCGGTGACACGGCAACTCTATTTCCCAAAAGTTTCGCCGTAAGTTCAGCAGGTATCGGTTGAGCCTAATAAAATAAAAAAAAAAAATTTTCTAAATCGCCCACAATGCTGGGAAAAAAGAGTTGGGGGGAGGGGGGGTGGGAAACGCGTGCAATTTCCATTTTTCCATTCCCTTCCCGATCCCTTCGAGTATATCCTAAACCGTCACCGCCATTATTAAACAATAATAATAATATAAAATGCCTTTTTCTTCCGCCCCACGTGATATGAAAAAAAATTTAATAAGAAAATGATTGCTTACCTTTATGACGTCATTGATTCACTTTTTTTTTTTTTTTTTCATCGAAAAGCGAGTTTTTTGAAAATTGTTTTTTGCCCATGCAGGTGTCCATTTGATCGCAACGCCATGTTACGACCCTTGTGCAGGGTGGTTATGTTTTATGTAAACACAACATCATGTTAATAACATTGTTAATAATAATAATAATTATTTAAACACATAAAATTATTTTTATACATACATACATGAGAAAAAATAAAAATAAATCATTTTTATAATTTTTTTTTTTTTTAACTTCTTCACACCGTCCACACCGCTTGGATTCATGCGCTCGACTGTTTTTCCCCCCACCACCGCCGCCGTAAATAATTCATCGTTCGATATATCGTTCGATACTCGTACGAATAATCAATTACACATGGCGGCGGGTAAAAATTCGTCATTTGGCGGGGAAAAACGCGTGCGTTTATGTGTCGACATTACTGCGTTATTAAATCTTTATAAAAAAACAAAAAAAAATTATTGCGTTTTACGCACGCGTAAGCGGTCGTGAAGCGTATGAAGACAAAAAAAAAAAAAATTTTTTTTTCTAGTCGGCATGAAATGAAAAAAATGAGGAAAAAATGATGATAGTTTTTAGTATAGTAAGGAAATTATGCGTGTGCAGGTTTACATCGCAAGCTAAACAGGTACGAGGCATTATCGTCTCATACGACGATCACACCCTATAATAATAATAATAATGATAAAACAATGCATCGTACCTGAATTTAAATGAAAAAAAGCAGGGCTCGAAATCGCGTACATTTCATTCCATAACAAACAATTAATAATAATAATAATAATGAAAAAACATCACAATGGCGATGTAATTAATATTAATATTAATAATAAGCGACAGTTAAAATAAAAAATTAGTAATAGTAATAATAATAATAATAATAATTAATATCATGTGGTTTGAAAAATTTATGAATTTACAATTATTCATTGATTGAAATCAATAATAATAATAATAATAATAATAATATTAACGAATCGGCGGGGGTATTGAGCATAAGTAATGCCCAATAAATTTAGTTAAACTTATTTTGAAAAGCACACAAACTTCGAACCATGCTGGAATTTTTTCCAGTCGTAAGTTATTAATTAATTTTACAAAATATCACTTTTAATTAAATATTGACTGGAAAAAATTTTTTTATTTATTTTAAATAAACGCACGCACGCACGTTCGTTCTTACGTATTGTAAACCTGCCGAACGGATATATTAATCGATTTTGCAAATAAATAAATTTTTACAAGAAAAAAATAAATAAATAATAATAATAATAATTATTATTATTATTATTATTATTTGCAAAATCGACAATAAAAAAATGTTAATTTCATGTTTCAATAAAAAAATCAATCCAAAAAAAAAAACTCTTTTGTTAGTTTAACCAAATTTTTGGGCACATTTTTATTTTTTATTAATCATTTTTTTTCACATCATTTTATCATAATTTTACATAAATTATTGAAAAATAAATAAATAAATAAATAAATAATATAGACATTTTAATACCGGAAATCATATCGAAACATTTTTTTAATGTTTTTTTTTTTTTTTTCGAAAAAAATATTTTGTCGAAAACGACAACAGCAATTTTATTATATATATAATAATAATTTTTTTCTTTTTTTGAACTTTTCGTTGTGATACATAATAATAATAATAATTCCGAACGTCATCACGACGTTCAAGGCGTTCATTTTACTAATTAATACAAAAAAAAAAATTATATCACACACGACACTCACAAACGACTAAATCAAAAACATTTTCTAATGAGTAGAGTTAATTCATCTATCTACGTTTCTAATTCATTGTCTGTCGTATTACTCTCAATTAATAATAATAATAAGTAAAATACATTTTCAAATTATTTACGGGTCACACGCACACGCACACACGTACATATATATATTATACATGATTACATACATGTTCATGCCCCCCCTCCCTCCTCCTCCCACATCGTTTTAATTAAACCTTCGCGAACGCAAATTTTTTTCCCCCCCCCCTTCAACCCATCATTAATTCCCGTTGTAATACTAATAATAATAAAAAATCACATTATTATCATCATTATTATCACCACCATCATCATCATTCAAATCAAATACAATACTACTACTTATGCTCAATACATTAAACTTATTAAACATTATTTAAAATTAAAATAAATAAATAAAAATAAATAAAAGACAAACTTTTTTTTAAATTTATCATTTAACTACCACACTGTAATTATTATTATTATTATTTTTTTTTTTTAAAATAATATTCAACAAAAATACTGATAATAATATATGTACATATTAAAAAAGAGAGAAAGAGATAGAGAGATTAACTTATGTTTATATATATTATTTTTCATAATAATAATAATTTTACATAAACAAACGAAATCAAACAAACAAACAAACAGGCAAATAGTTTTTTTGGTTGTTATTCGTTATTTTGTTAATGTTACAGTTTCACGCTGACATTCGATAGAGAGAAAAAAAAAAAAAAAAAAAAAAATATTACTCACGTTTTATAATGTTGGCAATATCGATTTTAGGGTATGCATCATGCGCACGTGTAAACGTTTTCGTGTTTTTTCAATGTCTATTGGATCCGAGGTGATCTTGAATAGATTCCAGAGAGAGATACACGACCGCGTGAAAAGATTTTTCTAATAATGGCACGAAAAGAGAGAGAAAGAACGAGAGAAAGCGAGAGAGAAAGAGAGAGAAAGGTAGATGGTTGAAAATTTTGTTTTCTACATCTGATTGTAACGGAAACCTGATTAATGAATGAATGTTCGAAGGGTTGTTTTTAGACGCGAACCAACAAGCTCACACGCAAAAAATAAAAATAAAAAAACACAATCAATCAATCAATCAATCAATCAACCAATCGATCGATCACTACAATTTACTAACTACAATATCGAATAGAAAAAAGAAAACAGGAAAAAAAAAAACGAATCGAGATCGAGATCAATGCTCTGCTGTCGTTATTTTTTTTTGGTCTTTACCATACGAGAGAAAATCTTTTCTTCTTTGGCACGTGATTGACCGAGATTTTCTTGAGTGCCCCTGTTGGCACGCCTTTACGTGGCCTAAAGAAATTCACATTTACCTGTAACCCGACTTTGATTTTTTTAGTGAGTGCTCCCTGCGGGAAAACGGCTTGAACTTGAGGAACCACACTCGATGATACCATTCCACCTTCCGAACCAATGGGATGAACCTTCCGATAAAAAAATAATAAAATTTTTTTAATTTTTTATTCTTCCCACCATCCGCCATTTTGTGTTTTTTTTTTAATTCTTATGTTTTTTTTTTTGTCTCACCTCTTGGCGAACTCTCGAAAGTATGGCAAAATATTGCGGGAAGTCATTGGTCAAAATTCTCGTTATCCTACCGGAAGACAAATCTTCCATGTGACTTAATTCTTCTTTGTCGAACGATTCGTTCAAAACGTCGTGAACGACTTCGTCGGTGGCTTCCATCGTATGCTCTCTCCACGTTTCTCCATTATCCGATCTCAATATGACGATCTCACGTTCGGATCCTCTCAACGAAGCAAAATGAGGCACCTCAATAATAACTGGACTGAAATTTTAAAACGATTATAATTATTATTATCAATTTTTTTTTTCAAGGTGAAAGGAAAAGAAAAAGATGGACGTCGTCGTACCCTAAGAATTTGGCACCGACAGGTCCTAATTCTAAAACTCGACTCGCTAAGGCTTCTCCCTCCATCAGCGGCGGTGGATGAACTATTTTGTCTCTTTTTAAATATCTACATGTTACTCTCATAGGCATCGTGGCTTTTCTCGGGGGTATGATGACTCTGACACCCGAATGACGACAACCTCTCATCGCACCTCCACGTGCATCCACGAGGAAACTGACGAGGAAGCTACAAAAAAAAAAAACAACAAAAAATTTAAATGAAAAAAAAAAAAAAAAAAAAAACATATACGACATCAATTCGATGATACAATGGCTGTGCAATCAATCAATCAATCAATCAATCAATCAATCAATTGACAAACTTACTTTCTCCATTGAAATTTTCTGCTTGTATTTCATCCAATTAAGTAAGCATTGAAAATTTTAATCGCAACATCATTTTCTGAACTTTGAATAAATTTTTTTAAACATTTCAAAAAATTATTTTTTTTCCTGTCGGTTACTCACCCGATATTAACCGGTTGTCTCGCAACATCCACATTGTCGGATGAATAATTCGAACCTTGAACGCCCGCCATACTCGTTTTAGTCGTTTGCATAGTGAATGAATCTTCGATGCTGGGCATACCTAAAAAAAAGCACACCAAAGGTCACAAACAAACAAACAAACAAGTTAAGACAAATTTTTACGTCAGCTTTTCTTATATATCCTTACCGAAAGATTCTTTGTTCGAATCGAATCTTTCATCTTTTGTGACGTCAATCGGTAGAGAATCATCTCCTAAACTTTTCATTTCGTCAACTGTGAGGTACCTGTAGGGTTGATCGCTCAACACGGTGTCTTCTCCTAAAATAATATTAATAATAATAATAATTATAATAAAATTTAATTTAATTACACCCGAGGGCGGAGGGGGGGGCGGGGGAAAATATCGAAATGAAATATAAAAATCAATTTTAGCACCCATGCAGGTGCTTTCTCATGCACAACAACATCGACAGTTATTTTATAGATAAATGCAATCATCTAATAATTCGTTCATTTTTGTTTGTTTGTTTGTTTCTTTTCCGACATTTTAAATAAAAGAATTTTAGAAATGTAATTAATCGCGGCGACAACTAATGGCTGTAATTTTTTTTTTTAAACAAACAACAACGACAAAACAACAACTACGCGACTACCCCGTATTTTGTTTAAAACCGTAAAACTAACGATCCGGATTTAAAGACGGAAAAAAAAAAAAACGCGGCGTATTTTTTTTTTTTTTTTTTAAATGCAATAAAATAAAGCATGCGTTTTTCTTTTTCTTTTTTTTTTTCGTAATGGCGAAAACTCGGGCGCTTAATTTTTTTTTTTTTTTTTTTTTGAATTTTATTCTAACAAAAAAAAAAAAAAAAAAACGTTACATAAAGGTCACTGTTTGTCATTAATAAATACGCAGGCACAAAGAAGTATAATATGGTAATAATAATAATAATAATAAATCATTTGATTAAAATAAAAAAGACGTCAATGCAAATAACGATTAAAAAATAATAATAATAATAATAATAATAATAATAAAGGTAAAGAAGCGTTATGTGAACTTACTAGAAAGCAGAATTTGACCCTGATAGTAAGGTCGATAGTTGTGTTGCATTTGTGCAGGTTGTCCGTAGTTAGACAAATCGGCCAATATGTCGTCACCTTTGGGAAAAATTACAACCATGTTCGAAAATGATCATAAGGCAAAAAACAAATTATTCGGGGGGGGAGGGAGGGGGAGGGGGAAACATTGCAATTGAAAAATACACGACAAATCCGATCGGAATAAAAGAAAGAAAAAATTAAAATATTACGCGTGCACATCGACATTTTCCTATTGATTAGGTTGGTAAAAGGGTTGACGAAAACGACAGCGACGACGAGGACGAAGAAGACGACTTATAAGTGACCGAATATAAAAAATAAAAATTATTCGAAAAAACGTATGCTATGTACAAGCTTGCAAAAAAAAAAAGGAATGAGTGAGAGAACGGAAGTGAAAACAAAAAGTAAAATTTTTCCGGATGTGGTGTTGACAGTTTGAACGGTACTCACCGTTTTCATCTTCGGAGTCTGACATAAAAGTTTCCTGCATGGTTTCAGGTGCTACGACCTTATATTTTTCATCGGTTTGAGGAGTTGAACTTTCTGCCGTTGTGACTCCCTTCAATGCTTCCACGACACCTATGTAACCTAATTTTTGAGCTATCGAAAGAGGTGTTTGACCGCTCTGTACAAAAAAAAAAAAAAAACGTTATTTTTGAATTTAGATCATTCATTTCCGGTTAGTAAAAAAAAAAAAAAAAAATCACAATCGAAATAATATTTACCGCCGTTTGAGTGTTTGGCGAAGCTCCATTATTTAAAAGCAATTGAACAATCGGAGCATGCCCTTGTTGAGCTGCTTGATGTAGTGGTGTGTAGCCGATGGCTGTCGATTTCGATGGATCCGCACCTTCTTGAAGAAGATATTTAACCGTGTTTGCCTGTCCGAAATGACTGGCTACGTGAAGAGGAGTGTACCTGTACGAATAAAAAAAAAATATAATTTTAAAATAATTTTATTTTTAAAAAAAAGAAATTTATTAAATAATATTTTATATCTCACCCTGATTTTGTTGGAGCATCTATTTGAGCTCCGTTCTTAACCAAGACAGCAGCAACATTTGATTTATCCTCTTGGGCGCAAAGATGGAGAGGTGTAAGTCCGTTCTAAAAAAAAAAAAAAACCCAAATTTTTTTTTGTTTTGTAAACAACAACAAGAAAAAAAAAAAAAACGAGAATATCCTTTACCTTCGCCTTGTGATTTCCATCAGCCTGATGTTCCAATAAAAGTTTTACCATGTCGGTATGACCTCCCTGTGAAGCCAAATGTAAAGGAGTAAAACCCGCTTTGGATTCAGAATCAGCTTTCGCACCATATTCCAGCAGCGTCGCGGCAATATCCATTTGATTTTTACGAGCGGCTATGTGTAATGGCGTGTGTCCATTTTTAGCCGTCGCATGAGGTGATGCTCCCTTGTCCAAAAGTAACAACGCCACGGCTTGATTATCGTAGTGACTCGCGACGTGCAATGGCGTGACTCCATTCTTTCCCTGAGCATCGACGAGAGCATCTCTCTGCAAGAGTTGCTGTGCCACTTTCATGTTACCATATTTAGCCGCCAAATGCAAGGGCGTGAAACCTTTTTTCGTTGTCGCCTTTAAATTTGCTCCATTTTCCAAAAAAACGGTCGCAACCTAAAAAAAAAAAAAATCGCAATTTAAATGAAAACAAACGAACAAACAAACAAACAAACAATTAAAAAAAAAAGAAATCTTAATAATAAAATTAATTAATTAATTAATTAAATCCAAAACGTGAAACGGCGAGAAATAAAAAAAAAAAAAATTTTATTATCATTATTATCATTTTTTTTTTTTTTATTTCTTTCATCATTCGCATAATTTGTTGAAAACAAATTTTTACTTTTCATATTTAACTTATGCACATTTTTTAAAAAAAATTTAAAACGTTAAAAAAAAAAAGTTTAACAATTCGTAATGAAATAATACACGCGGATTACGCACACACACATACACGCGTGTGCGTGTGCGTGTGCGTGCGTGTGCGATTGCGTTTGTCGTACAAAATAAAAACAATACAAAAAAAAAATAAATAAATAAATAAATAAAGTACAACAAATTGTACAGTATGTCAAGCACGATGGATTTATGTTCAGTTTATACAGGTATTGATCACGTGATTAAAACATATACATGTTAATAATAATAATAATAAAAAATTACAAATAATATAACCATTTCATGCAATGAAAGAATGAAAGAGAGAGGGGGGAAAAAAAGAGAAGAAATTAATCAACAGGAAAAGGTGAAACAAAAAAAAAAAAAAAAAACTGTGCTGTTGGGATTTTAGATTGGTGAGGAAAAGAGAGAGGAAAAGGTTATGAAATCGTACAAGAGTTTTACATAAGGTAAAATCCAAGTGAAAAGGAAAGAGGTGAAAAAGGAAGAGGGGAAAAAAGGGGGAAAATTAAAAATTTAAAAAAAAAAAAAAAAAAAAATTTCTCAAGGCGTGCGCTTACCTGATTTTTTTTTTTAAATTTAAAATTTTTTTTTAATAAATAAATAAATAGAATCAATTTACAAAACAAATAAATAAATAAATAACGTTGAAAAACCGATCAGCCAAACGCACGCATTTGAGACGTGTGGAGGCCATTTTTTTTTTTTTTTTATTTCTGTTTGTTTCGTTTTTTTTTTTTTTTTTTTTTAAACGCGAACCATTTAAAAAAATTTTTTTTATACCCATCATCATCATCATCATCAATTCTTCTTATTACCTTTTTTTTCGTCATTACGTACGTAACCAACATTCACACTCACAACTTAATAAATAATAATAATAATTTTCACAACGGATAAAAAAAACTATTTCGGTGGTGATTGTTGTTGTTGTTGTTGTTGTCGTTATCGTCTATCAGTAGTCGTCATCGTCATCGATTTTTTTACATATAAAAAATTTCAACAACAACAACAAAAAATTTTTTTTTCATTTTATGTTGCAACAGATTTTGTATTTTTTTTTTGTTTTTGCTTATAACATAAACAAAATAAAATAATAATTAAATAAAAATAAAGATTTTATTTTTTTTTTGGCTTACATTGTTTGTTTGTTTGTTTGTTTTTTTTTTTTAAAAAAAAATTATCGATAATCAATAACAAACGATCGATTATTCTTCATATTCGTATATGCATTATTGATCTATACGGAATCAATTTATTATTATTATTATTACTATCGAATTCATAAAGTATCGCGTTTAATGTAACCTTTTAACAAAACCTGTTGAACTTGAATATTGATCATAAGGGTCGAAATTTGTGACGTCATTAAACAATTTATATTACGTAACATAAACGTATTTTTATATATATATATATATATATAATAATAATACTGCTCGATTTTTAAGCAAAAAAAAAAAAAAAGGCCTCATGCCCGAACAATCATTTATGACATCAACCGTTATCATCGTTATCACAGCTACACATTAAACAACAACGAAAAAAAAAATAATAATAATAATGAAAAAAAAATTATTTTTTTTTGGCACGTGAGTAACAAGAAAAATGAGTACTAAAAAATGAACACGTGTGTGTGTGTAATAGCACATAACAATTATAATAAAAAAAATTTTTTTCATTTTCAATCGTTTTAAACAAAAAAAAAAAAAAAAACCGGAAATGTAACCTTTTGAACCCGAACTTTAAAAGAAAATTAAATACTACTCTACGCTTGAATACAAATAAAAGCGTAATAAGTATTTATTTGTTGTTAAAAAAAAAAAAAAAAAAAAAAACGAGTAGAAATTATTTAAGCTTAAATTTTGTAGTGTGAAGCTTTCAGCTAAATGTTATACCTACAAAAATAAGCAAAAAAAAAAAAAAAAACTAATCAACTAACAATTTGACTACCCGCGTTTCATACTACGAGATGTTAATATGCTACTGATAATTATTTGATAAGCAATACACGATAATGGCGACGATTGCGAATATTTAACCGAAAATGGTTGTTCGAATCGTAAATAATCAATTTTTTTTTTTTTTATTATAAACAAAATAATTTTTTAGTACTCACTTAATAATAATAACAACAACAACTAGTAATAATAGTGGATTTGATAAATGTAATATCGTGCATTTGACAACAACGTGGCAGTAACTTTTTTTTTTATGTATATAGTTAAAAAAAAAAAATTTAAATGTTTTTATTTTGTACCATTCGTTAGTGCCCTTTTTTTTCAAACCCTTCCCCCCTCATCAAAGTAAAATTTGTTTTCAACAATTATGTTTTGCTCCACGTTTGACTTTTGGTTTTTTAGTTTCGGGAACAAGACACGATTTCCCGATTTTATTAATTTGATACGAAATAAAAAGAAAGAGAGAGAGAGAGAGAAGAGAAAAGAAGAAGAAAAAATTATAGAAAAAAATTTTTCTCATCATCCGATTTGTTCACCACCGGTAACTACAAGTATCATTATTAACTACTAATTTTTTTTTTTTTTTTGATCGCAGGGACGCGTGATAAATTAAAAAATAAAAATAAAAGTAAAAAAAAAAAAAAAAAAAAAAAACGTTAAATGAAAAATTCTTGTCGCGTTCTCCAAAATCTTTCCAACAAGTAGCTCGTTTCAATGTGATCCATTATTTTATGTGCCATTAACATTTTTACCTCCTCTTGACCCTCCTTAGCGGCTATGTGAAGAGCCGTGTATAAGTCTTTTGTTGTTGCATCGATTTGAGCACCGTGTTGTAGCAGCAACATTACGATATCGACGTTACCCAAACGTGATGCGATGTGTAGAGGAGTTTGCTGTTCCTGTTAATTTATAAATAAATGCGTGAGCCATATATTTCACGTAAGAAAAAATTTTGCAAAAAAAAAAAAAAGCTAAAAAAGTGTGTGCTAACCCTTGCTCGAGCATCGACTTGAGCTCCGTTTCTTAATAAAATACGAATAATGTCCGTCTGATTGGCTCTGGCAGCTAAATGTAATGGAGTTTCTCCTCTAACCGTTGGAACGTCTGGACTCGCATTGTGTTGCAAAAGGAAAATGACTATGTTCATGCATCCCATAAAGCTAGCCACGTGTAATGGCGTTAGACCGGACTGGAAAAATATTTTTTTAATTTTTTTTTAAATTCGTGACGTCGTTGACATTTTGAAAAAAAAAGAAAAAAGAAAACGGAAAATATTTTTTTTCATTACCTCCGTCGTTGCTTCAATGCTTGCGCCGTGTTTTAACAAAAGTTCTACAACTTTTATCCTGTTTTTTTTACACGCGATGTGTAATGGAGTAAATCCGTTCAATGCTCTCGCGTCGGGATCTGCTTTTCTGTCCAGTAACAATTTTGCAACTCTCACGTGACCGCAATGAGCAGCCACGTGTAAAGCCGTTAAATAGTCGACGGTGACTTCATCCACGGGTGCTCGATGATAAAGAAGAATACGAGCAGCATCCACATGATCACCCTGTGATGCCATGTGAAGTGGCGCCAAACCTGACACAATTAAAAATAAAAAAAAATTATCCTGGAAATCGATAAATTCCAATTCAAAATTTTAATTTTTTTTGTGTTTGGAAAACTACCATTTTTAGTTTTGGAACTAATCGGAGCTCCTCGTTCTAAAAGCATGTCAACAACTTGTTCGTGACCGGATCTTGCCGCGCAGTGTAACGGAGTTAAACCATCTCTCGTTTTAGATTCAATGTTTCCACCTTTTTCCAAAAGTAAGGCCACCATATTACTTTTACCCCATTTGGCAGCCACGTGTAAAGGTGTTATATTATGCTGGGGAAATAAAAAAAAAACGAAAATTAAATTTTTTTTTTTTTTTGTGAAATGGATATGTATGAGGGGGACTCGTTGACTCGTTTTTACCTTGGCGGAATAATTCACATCGGCTCCTTTCGACAACAATAAATTGGCAATACTTTCGTTTCCGTAATGAGCAGCAATGTGAAGAGGGGTAAAACCAGATTTAGAAGTCACATCCGGATTGTGATCGTTTTGAAGGAGAAGTGAAGCTGCTTTACAGTCGTCTTTTTTAGCAGCTATGTGTAGAGCAGGAAGTCGAACTTTACCGCGTGTGTCACTTTCTAACAAAACCGCCACAACTTTATCGTGACCCTGTTGCATCGCGACGGCCAACGGCGTGAACCCATCCTGAAATTTTTTTTAAAATTAATAATTTAAAAAATACACATAAAAAATTTTAGAAAATTTTCCCATCGAAATCATAAAAGTACCTCCGTCGAGAGGCTTTGATTGGCTCCGTTGGCCAATAGAAACTTGACGACGTTATCGTGATTTTCCTGAGCCGCCATATATAGCGGAGTGAATCCATTTTGTGACTGTACATTTACGGCAGCTCCGCTTTGTACCAGCAATTTGACAACTTCTTCTTGACCTGCTAACGAAGCTATGTGCAGTGCAGTGTTCCCTTTTTTAGTAGCCGCATCCACGATGGCACCGCGCTTGAGCAATTCCGTCACGACGTTTACGTGACCATCTTTTGAAGCCAAATGAAGTGCGTTCAGTCCATTCTTTAAAAAAAAAATTTTTACAAATTTTTATTTTTATTTTTTTCAAATTATCATTATTATCGGAAAGACAAATTTTTAAAAAAAAGGAACGTACGGCATTTGATGTGTTTATGTCAATATTAGTTTTAAGATGTTCCAAAACTTTATCCAGTTGGCCAGCCCTCGCGGCCCTGAGGAAAGCTGTATTGCCATCCGACTGTAATTAAAAAATAAAATTTTTTATTTTTAAATTTATGAAACAATTAAATGCAATTTGCCAGAATATTATCTAAAACGAAAAAAAAATATTCTTTAACCTTAATAAAAAAATAAAAAAAAAGTTCAATAATAATAAAAACTTGTGGAAATCGTGACAAAACCGCATAAAAATTTTTTTACAAAAAAAAAAAACGTGAAATTAGAAACAAAAAAAAAAAAAAAAAAAAAAGGGAGGAGACTGAAAAAAAATAAAAATAAAATTTCGAACTTAATTTCATTTTTTTTTTTTTTTTTTTCAAAATTTTATATTTTTTGACGAATTAAAAAGTTCAAAGTTCGAATCGATATTTTTATTTTTTATTTTTTTTTTTCGTTAAACTCGACTTGTTTTTTTCCCATTTTCTTTCTCTTTTCCCCATTTTCTTCATCCCGATTTGTTTTCCATCCGCCATTTTCATTTATTTATTTTGACTTTTTTTTTTTTCATGATTTCCCCCATTGCGAAAATCTCTAAGGAAAAATTGAAAACGAACACGAACATTGCTTTTGCCAAAAAAAAAAAAAAAAAAAAAAAAAATTAATTAATTAAATATAATTAAAAATAACGTGGAAGTAAAGACATTTTGAAATAAAATTATCGGATATTGTTTTTTTTTTTTTTTTTTTTCAAACGGAATGTTCTAGAAAACTATTTTTAACCGAATCACATGAATTTTTGTCAATAAATGCAACGAACGACGGTGATGATACGTGATTGGTTATTAATTTATAACAATGCGACAAAATTTTTTTTAGTGCTGCCATCTACTGACATTTTAATTAACTTATTAACGGGTCACGTGGTATTCATAATTTGAAAGGTTTGGAACGTATGGAACATTTCGAACGAAAATGACACTCGCCTACTTGTTGAAAGTGTTTGTAACGGTGGTGGTAGTGGTAGTGGCGGTGATAATGGCGGTTAAAAAAAGGTAAAAATTTTACTTTTTCTTTTTTGTTTCACGTATTCGTAAGTAAATATTAATATTTATTAATTTACTTTTGGGCGTAGTCGATTATTCGATCAAATTTTATATCGAAATAAGTTCAAAAACTATTTTCATAAATTTTTTTAATTAATCGAATAAATCAAATATGGCGTCCGAGAATTTTTAATCGTTAACGTTTCGGGTGACATTCAAATTTTTTTTTTTTTTTGCACGAATTCGGATTACGTCAGTTTCGATTTTTTTTTAACGTTTTTATTTCGTTTCGAATAATAATAATAATAAAATATATAACGAAAAAAAGGGCGAGAAAAATAAAAATAAAATATCGTGACGAGCTTGCTTTACGACTTATATACATACATATATATATATATATAAATTTATTTTTATACTTTTTTTGGAAAACAATTTAAATTGATGATTTCGTTATTCGTTTATCGTAAAATAAAAATGAATTTTTTTTTGTATGTTCGGTAAAAAAAAAATTTTTTTAATTCGGGATTGAATTGTATCTGGGTGAAGTTCAAAATGACGGTTAAAAATTATATATGTGTCGAGATGATATAAAAAAACGGGAATGAGATGATGATGATGATGATGATTATGAACGTTAAAAAATTTAAAATAATGACATTTACAATATTATTTACCGACTTGGATGAAAATTTTTTCCTCCTTGCCAAAGAATTTCGTTTAATTTCTTCTTTTTTTTCACGATTTCGGATAAATTTTTTGAAATGAAGAAAACGTTTTTCACTTTGCCGAGATTATAACAAACAAATTTTATATAAAACTAATAAACTACGATTAGAAAAAGAGAAAATGTCGGAAAAAAAATTTTTCCCCCCAACAATAAAAATCACTGGATGATAAATTTAGGTCAGTTTTTCCCTTTTCCCCAGCCCGCTCTTACGTCTATTCTGATCTGAGTCATTTGCAATACTGACTCAGACGTTGGTACCTCTTTTTTTTTTTTTTTTGCAAGTTCGCGAGCGTTATCTATCTCTTTCTCTCTCATTGTATTATATATCTAATTTGTTTGTGTGAGTGTGTCTCTGTCTTTTTATCTATGATTTTGATCAGTGTGTCTGGGCGTCTTTCTCTGTCCTTTTTCATTTGCAAAAAAAAACTTTTGCAAAGGTGTCTCCGTCTCTCCGTTCTTGTTTCTCTTTCTCTTTCCTTCTTACGACGTGTTACTATCTCTCTCTCTCTCTCTTTTTCTTTTTTCTACAAGGTTTTTTTTTTTTTTTGATTTTTGTCTGTCTGTCACTCCTTTCCTCCTCCCCCCTCTCTCTCTCTCTTTTTTTCTATCATCGTGTTTCTCTCTACCTTTCTCTCTCTTTTTGTCTGTATGTATTACCCTCCCCCCGACGCTCTCTTCCTTCTCTCTCTTTCTTTGTCTTTTCAAGTTTTTAATTTAATTACGAAAAAATTTTAATATCGATTTTTTTATTTTTGTCTTTTTGATTGTTGCGAGTCTTGAATTTTTTTTTTTTTTTTTGGTTTGTCACGTTGGCAGTAATTTTTGCTAGAACAATATAATTCTTTTCTATTCGGACATGATTTCAAAATTATTCTTTCCCTTTTTTTAGATTTTATTTTCGATCGATATTGTTTGGAAACGACTTAGTCGTAAAATTTAAGGCCTGTCGTCGTAATAATGTTATTATTATTATTATTATCATTACTACGATTACGTTTGTAGTAAAAAATTGTCGAGGGGGTTATTACAAGAGAAATACATGTAGGGAAAGTCAATGGAAAAGTTTTTCCAGGTTCGTCGTTGTTATATTACGATAATGAATAACGAAATTTCTAGAAATTATAAAACAAACGAGAAGGGAAATAAGGGGGAGTGGATGCGTGCGTGCGTACGTGCGTGCGCTTGGAAAATAACAGGGAACATGGAAAGTAAAAAAAAAAAAAAAAAAAAAAATTTTTTATTATTTTTCTCCAGTTAAGTTTTACGACCGAATTAATTTTATTTTTATCAAGTTGAAAATCAAAAAAGGAAAAGGGTGGATGGATTATTCAACTGGGTTAGTCAATCTTTTTTTTTTCTACCGTCTTTTTTTTGGGGTTGAAAATTTGAAAGAATGAAACAAGTGCACAAGCGTGCGAGGTCGAACAACGGTCGAATTCGAACGCGAACTAGAGGGTGGCAAAAAAGCACAAAACTAAAATCGAAAGGGGGAAGAAAGGGAGAGAGGGATAGAAAAAATAAAAAAATAAAATTTTTTTTTTTTTTTGGTTTTCGAGAATAATTATTAATAATTTACTTGATTTTACTGGAGAAAAAAAATAAATACACTCCAGGAGTGGTTTGATGGTTATGGGGAAAAATTTTTAATAAGTTAAAAATAATAATAATGATAATTTTAACTGGAATCGATCAAACCCTTTCCGCTGCGTGTTTTCGATTCTGGAAAAAACGGTTGTTGGTGGTGGAAGGAAGGAAGAAATGACTGGAGAGAAAAACGAAGAAGAACCAACCTCCGAAATTTTAAAAATATCATCATTATTATTATTATTATTTCGATTTAGAATTTTCCAAAAAATTGTAAATAATGAAAATTTCTAGGGAAAAAATTGCAATATTTCGAAGAAAAAAATTGTGAAAATTTGAAAGGAAAAAAATTTTTATTTTTCCGTCCGCCATTTTGTGTTGAAAAGAATAGGAAAAAAGAAAATAATAATAATATTAATTTTTTTTTCTTACCTGAGCAGCACCTTCGGTTACCATTTTTTCGTAAAAAAAACCTTTTTTTTTTTTTAAATTCTTTCCAAAAATTCTAAATTTTTTTTGCCGTTTGTTTTTTTTACTAATACAACAACAACAACAACCGCGAACAACAACTACTATTTTTTTCTTTTTCAAGCGAACTGTACAAAGGGAACAAATGACCGGAAATAACCGGAAAATTTTTCTTACGACGACCAAAGTAAGAAAAAAAAAACGAAACCAAAATAAAAATAAAAAAAAAAAGTGAAAAAAAAAATATATAAACTTTCTAAATTTTATTTAATTATTTATTTAGAGAAAAAAAAAAAAAAGAAAAACTGGAAAACTTTGTCCAACCCCAGAAAATCGTTGTTGGAATGGCTGAGAACTCGGAAAAACTGTTTCTCATTTTCGTCGTTGCATGCCAGCGCCTCGTTTTTAGGGGATTAAAAGTTCGACGGTGGAAGGGAACGTAAAGGGAATGCGCGAAGGGAGTCAGAAAAGCGAGAGAGGGGGAATGGTAAGGGTTGAAAGAGGGGAAAGGGGTGTGCGAATGAGACGTCTCTAAGGGGTACTCGGAGCATTTTTTACGTAGCCTTCGTCATCGTCGTCATCGTCGTCGTCTTGGTCGTAGTCATCGCCGGCGTCAGCATAATTTTGCGAGGTTTTTAACCAATGTTGCCAACGTGATAAAAAGAAATTTTTTTCGTAACGATTTCATCCCTTACGAAAAAAAAAAAAAAAAACGCGACGATTCGTCGTCTGCTTTCGTTATTTTGTTTTTTCATCATCCCCTACTCAGCAGGTTGAATCATCAGCAAGTGAAACATTTTATTTTTAATTTCAATTCTCTCTCCCTCTCCCTCTCTTTCCCCCCATCTATCTATCTATCCCTCTCTTTCTCTCTCTCTCTCTCTTCCTCTTTCTGACTTTCCCACTTCCTATCTTTTTCTCACACACTCCTGACATTTTACAGATGCAACAATGAATAAATTTTCATTTTTTCTATGCTTTTATTCTCATTCGTATTATTATTATTATCATTGTTATTATCATTATTATTATTATCATTGTCATTATCATTATCATCATCATTATTCTCGTTTTTGTTACTTAGGATAATTGAATAATAATTACAATTGTTTAAACTTTCCGCGAAAGTCTGGAGAAAAAAGAAAAGGAAAAAAAAAAACGTTTTCACTTTCGTACCACCATTATTACAATTAATATTATTATTATTATCGTTTTTTTTATTGTTATTCGATAATAATAATATATTTGTCATCGCTTATTATTATTATTATTATTATTATTATTATTATTATTATTATTATGAACGGCTCGAACCAATTAAAAAAATATTTAAAAAAAAACAAAAAAAAAAATGCAGTAAGTTTTTCTGCATTGCGACATTTAAAAAATATCTCGTGCATATTATGGAGAAACAGGAAAAAA